CGTGTGCTGTCTTTACTTGCAGTGTGCTATTCTTATACCCCCACTAATGCGGTATTCTCAAACACGCTCACACACACACACACACACACACACACACACACACACACACACACACACACACACACCTGCCGATGTGGTTTTGTGACCCGCTGCTTGCGAAGTACCTTTCTGTTCACAGTTTCCTACGTTGCATGTGCTCGTGGTTCCCCTGCATCTCACATCATCACCATCACTGTCACTGTCCCCAGGGGCTACATCAGCGAGATCTTTGGCAGCCACTTCCAACTGCCAGACCTCGGCCCAATCGGTGTGTGTGTGTGTGTGTGTGTGTGTGTGTGTGTGCGCGTGTGTGTGTGTGTGTGTGTGTGTGCGTGTGTTTGTGTGTGCTTGTGAGGATAAGGGTTTCGTGCTGTCTTCATCGCGATTACACACTGTGTTCACAATGACCACCATCACTGCCGCCGCCGCCGCCGCCGCTGCCGCCGCTGCTGCTGTATCAGGTGCCAACGGCCTTGCCAACCCGCGGGATTTCCTGACGCCAATCGCCAAATACGAGGACGTGGATGGTGATTTCACCGTCTACAACAAATACCAGGGGCAAATGTTCTCCGCAAAGCAGGTGTGTGTGTGTGTGTGTGTGTGTGTGTGTGTGTGTGTGTGTGTGTGTGTGTGTGTGTGTGTTCATTTCTGTCGCTATGTGCACTCAGGTCCAGAGCATCAGCCTTCGTGTGTGTCTGCGTATGACTTTCTCTTTCTTCTGTTTTATGCATCTCCATGATACTTCTATTCCATCCCTTCCGTTCATCCGCACTCCAAACACCACCAGGACCACTCCCCTTTCGACGTGGTTGCGTGGCACGGGAACTACGCGCCGTACAAGTACGACCTCGCAAAGTTTGCCGTCGTCAACTCTGTCTCCTTTGACCACATGGTAAGCGCTGCTGTGCGTGTTTGTTTGTTTGGTTGTGTGTGTGTGTGTCTGTGTGTCTGTGTCTGTCTGTGTGTCTGTGTCTGTGTCTGTCTGTGTTTGTGTTTGTGTTTGTGTGTGTGTGTCTTGCTTGCGTTCGTCCCTGTTCACCTCATCCCCCAAATTGTTCCCCCCCCCACATCAACACATGAGCATGAGATGCTCATGCATCACCTCACACCCACATGCCGCTTGTCTCCTTCCTTCTCCCCACGCCTCCTCTTTTGTCATGTGTTCAGGACCCATCCATCTTCACGGTGCTGACGGCGCCAACACCAACACCGGGCCTTGCCCTGATTGACTTTGTCATCTTCCCGCCCCGCTGGTCTGTGCACGAGCATACGTTCCGCCCGCCCTACTACCACCGCAACTGCATGGCCGAGTTTATGGGGCTCATTCGCGGCCACTATGAGGCAAAGGCAGAGGTGCGGTTCATTGATTTGGTCGAAGTGTGCATGTGCGTGTGGGGGGGGGAGCGGAGGCAGACGCAAGGATATGATGTCCTGGGTCATTTCCTGTCCTTTCATGTTTCCTTGCTGTGTTTACAACACTCATCTTCACCACTGCACCACTTGCGCCACTGCACCACGACCGCCTCCATCACCTCATCCCAACACCTACCACCACCACCTTCCAACCATCCGCCCCTTTTCCCAGGGCTTTGCGCCTGGCGGTGCGACGCTGCACAGCATGATGACTCCACACGGGCCCGACCGCCAGTGCTTTGAGTCTGCCAGCAGCGCCGAGCTCAAGCCAGAGGTCATTGCAAAGGGAACACAGGCATTCATGTTCGAGACTAGCCTGGGCCTCAAGGTACGCACTGTGTGCGTGCGTGCGTGTGTGTGTGTGTGTGTGTGTGTGTTGTGTTGTGTGTGTGTGTGTGTGTGTATGATTGTCGCTCTATCTGGCTGTCGATGTGCAAGTCGTCCCCCCCCCCACCTTCCCTTGCTCTCCTTGTTACCCACTTCGTGTGCCCTCACCTTACACACTGTTTCTCTTCATTGCCGTTCAGACAACCCCGTGGGCTGCCACGTGCGGCGCCCGCCAAGAGGACTACCACGCTGTACGTTGTCTGCCCATTGGTGGTGGTGGTGGTGGTGGTGGTGGTGGTGTTGACGTGCGCTGCCTGCCCATGTGGCCAACGCTTCGCCCATTTGATCGATGCCTCTCCTCACACACATCGCACAAACACGGGCAGGTGTGGCGCGGTCTGGACAAGCACTTCAAGCCGCCATCGAAGTAAACTCGAGCGGGATGATTCCCATGAAGAACACATTGAAACCCATGGGCGACTTGACCTGCACACATACACACACACGCGCGCGTGTCGTGCTGCTCGTTGCTGTTTGTCTTGTTTGTCTTGCGTTGGATGTGATGTGATTGTGACATGAAACAACTTGTGCCACGTTCATCTCATCTCACTGAAATCCGGACAAGCAACAACAAAGATGGGAATGGGCGTGGTGTGGATGGTGTTTGCTGCGCTGTGTTGGGGAGGCACCAACCCCCTCTTGAAGGACGGAGTACAAGGTTGCAGTGTGTGTGTGTGTGTGTGTCTGTGTGTGTCTGTGTGTGTCTGTGTGTGTGTGTGTGTGTGTGTGTGTGTTTGTGTTTGTGTTTTTGGGTATTGTGTGTGTGTGTGTGTGTGTGTGTGTGTGTGTGTGTGTGTGTGTGTGTGTGTGTGTGTGTGTGTGTGTGTGTGTACATTTGTGTACGTGTGTACATGTGTGTGCGTGTGCACGTGTGTGCATGCGTGTGTGCGTGTGCACGTGTCGGCCTATCTGTCTGCCCACCTGTGCGTCTGCATGTCTGTCTGTGACCATTCCCCCCCCCCCCGGTCCTCGCTGCACGTACGGCCCTGCTTGTGCCACGTCCTCCTTCCTGCCTTCCTTCTTTCCCTTTGCTAGTGTTCTGGTTTCATCTCCTCATTGATGGTTGTGTCTACGGTTTCAAACAGGCTTCGATCGCGTACACGGCTCGCTGTGGCAACGACTTCTGTTCCTCGCGCGCCGATGGCGCTTTGTGGTGAGTGCCTACGTTGATATCGTGACCACAGTGTGGTCTTCAGGCTGCCCCCTAGGCACCATCACCCACTCACTCACTCACTCACTCACTCACTCACTCACTCACTCACTCACTCACTCACTCACTCACTCACTCACTCACTCACTCACTCACTCACTCACTCATGCAGGTACCCTTTGGTGTGAACCAGTGCGGATCGGTCTTCTTCGCCATGAGCATTGCTTCAAGTCCGCTTGGCGCAGCGGCAACTGTTGTCAATGCCCTGACCTTCCTCTTCACGGCCATCGTGGATGCCATCCTTGGGCACCGCCTCCTCCTTTCTTGGCGCCTGGTCGCCGGCACTGCCCTTGTTCTCTTTGGCGCACACCTCACACTCACAGCTGCACCCACGTGACACTCATTATGCTTGCTCATCGTGCATCTGTGTATCTACGTTTGCGTGCCCTTCTATCCTCTACACACACGCACACACACAGACACGCACACACACGCACACACGCACACACGCACACACGCACGCGCACTGCGACGATGCTGTGCATTGGTTACTCCTTCCCTGCATCTCACCCATTCTATTGTCCCCTTTGTTTGTCGCAGGTCACACCCAAGCGCTGCGTTACGTTACATTATTACATCAAGCTTTACTTTGTCTGAAGTACTGTCTCGAAGCATGTCCCACACTATGAAGAAGAAGTTGACGATGAAACGCATGCATACAAGCTCCCAAAGACTCTCTTGTCAGTCGCATCCACGCACGCCTATGAAGCCCTGAACACAAACAAACGACCTCGCTCCCTCGACACGCAACTTACGACACACAACACACACGACACAACGCACAACCCAACACACACACACACACACACACATATCGCACGACACAACAAACAGCATACACACAGACATATCACACACACACACGCGACACACCAACACAACACCAACACATACACTCCTTCCCTATGTCTCTGTTCCCCCTCAACTCTCGAACCTCAACACGAACAACACATACGTAATGCCATGCATCCTTCACGCTCATCATCGATCTGTGTCGCTGTGCATGTCGGAGAGGTGGCCTCTAAACGACCCCTGCAGTGATGATGGGAACTGCGGCGGTTCTTCGTACTCTGGTGTTGGCGGGCGCGTGGATGGGCCGGACCAGTATGCGGGCTCCTCCCACACACCTGCCGCCATAGCCACATCCCCGCTCATGTCCAGGTTACTGTCGTCCAGTGGAATCACATCTCGTCCTGCACGAGCCTCTGCTTTAACCCGGGGTTGCCTAGCACCGCCATGCGCACCACCACGAGCCCCGTAGTCGTCATCGTCATCATCGCCAACCGCGCTGCTGTCGCCTGCGATGCTTGCAGGCTCGCTGCGTGACATCCAGGCACGTGGCGTGCGGCCCGTGCGAACACCGCGGTCGTCCTGGGCATCTGCCTCGTGGCCACGACGAAGACGCCCGCCATGCACGCGCTTCGGGGTCCCTGTTGGTGTCGTCGATGTTGGTGTCGATGGTGCTGTGTTCTTCACGGCCACGCGCGACGGCAATGGCATCTCAGCCAGCACGTCGCCTCCGCTGTTGATGCGGCCATCGTACAACGGCACATGGCCCATCCGACTCTCAAGCGTGACATCGGCGCTCTTCGCGTAGTCACCATCGCCATCGTCGTCATCAATGCTCTCCAGGTCATCTATGGTGTCTGCATCGCCGTCTCCGTAAAAGCTGCTGTCACCGCGCGGGTCACGATCCGAGCTGGCGCTGCCTCCGCCATACAGCCACGCATCAGAGTACTGGGGCGGTGCCTGGTACGGCGGCACGTCGAACACATCGCTGTCCACACCACGCACGGGCAGCGGTAATGGTGGTGGTGTCATGCGGCCATCCCTCTGCCAATCAGAGGCGATTGATGCAGCCCCGGTCATGTGCATGTCAAGCACGCCGTCCTCAGCGTACAGTGAGCCACCAAACTCGCTCGTGGGCCGCTTGCTCACGTCGCTCATGCTTCCCCAGTACTCGTCTGCGTCGCTCGTGTAGTCGTCGTCTCCATCCGTCGTCACGTCGTCCACTTCATATGGGGTGTACGCTGGTGGCGGTCGGTATGGTGGTGCCTGCAGACCCTCGCGACTAGCCCCGCCGCCAGCGAGCCACTCAAACTGCGGGCGCGGGCGCCGGCCTGAGTGGGACAGGCGCTCGTAGATGCGGTCGCGAAGGCTGGCACGCCTGCTGGCTTCGCCCTTGCTCAGCCCAGCGCCCATGCCGCCCTTCTGCATCGCCACCCTCTCCACGGAGGCGTAGGTTGGCGGCGCAATGTAGGCAGGCAAGTCCGGTGCTGCCGGCACGCGGGTCAACTCCGACACACGGCGAGACTTCTGCCGCCACAGCCGCAGCACCACCACAAGCGCAAGCACCGTCACCAGCACAAGCACCGTGAGAACAGCTACGATGGCCATCTCCGTGGTGGAGAAGCGGTTGACGGCGCTCGGGTTGGAGCCGCCGTCATCGCACCCACACAGGCAGGCGCCAGCAGCATCCCCCACGGTCACACTCGAGACGGTCAGAGCCGTCGCATCCGTCACATAGGGCGAGGCCGCCTGCAGCGTGGGCAAGAACGTGCCATCGCTCCTGGCAGCGCCGTCGTGCATGAGGCAAGCAACTGTGGCGTGGGTCTCGGTAGGCATGGACACGGCGACATCAACGAATACAGCGGTACCAAGAGATGTTCCTTCCTCAACCGTCACCGCGGCCATCCCCTGCAGACGTGGCCGTGGTCCTGTGGCTGCTGCGCCTCCTGTGCGTATCGCAGCTGCTGCCTCGACGGGTGTGCCAAAGTCCGTCACGTCGTACGCGCAGGAATGAGCCGAGTAGAACCCAGCAATGTTGTCAACAGTCACAAGGCCCTGCGCGCTGGCAGCCAACAGCTCTGGTGGAATTGGAAAGTCAAATGTCGTTGCCTTGTCCACGTCGCCAGAGACAAGGGCTTGCAGCTGCTGCAGTGGGATGGCACTGAGCAAGTTGAGGCTGGTTGCAGACGCCAGCGCCTGTGTCACATCTGTGAGGAAGGCTCCGATATCGGCCGCTGTGGCATTTGTGATGGATCCATCAAGGTCGGACAGCGTTACGGTGACAGCCACGGTCGTGTCTGCGCCATCGGGGTGCACACACGTGCAGACGCGATCAGATGTCACTGTTGGAGACGCCGCCTCGTGCTCAAACACGTCACACTCCGACACGCGCGCACACGCTGCATCAGAGGTGGGTGTGGGCAATACAGCAATGTACTCTTGCTCGCCGTCAAAGCGACATGTGGTCTGGTTGACGCACACACGGTCGCTTGTTGCAGTGGGTGCAACGACCTGATACTCTGTCGACAGGTCGCACTCAGTCAACAAAGCACACTCCCGATCAGCAAGCGCAGTGCAGCTGGATGTCTCATACTCCATTGCAGGGTTGCATGTTCGACATGGGGCACATTCTCGGTCGCTTGTGGAGGATGGCCCAGTCAGCTCATATTGGCTCTCACCGCACACCGTCAATGCTAAGCATGTGCCGTTTGCAGTCCTGAATTCGGTGTCGAGGCACTCTGCAGTTGTTGTAGTTGTAGTTGTAGTTGTAGTTGTAGTTGTAGTTGTAGTTGTAGTTGTAGTTGTAGTTGTAGTTGTAGTTGTAGTTGTAGTTGTAGTTGTTGTAGTTGTAGTTGTAGTTGTAGTTGTAGTTGTAGTTGTAGTTGTTGTTGTTGTTGTTGTTGTTGTTGTTGTTGTTGTTGTTGTTGTTGTTGTTATCGTTGTTGTAGTAGTAGTTGTAGTTGTTGTTGTTGTTGTTGTTGTTGTTGTTGTTGTTGTTGTTGTTGTTGTAGTAGTAGTTGTTGTTGTTGTTGTGGTTGTTGTAGTAGTTGTTGTTGTTGTTGTTGTGGTTGTTGTTGTGGTTGTTGTTGTGGTTGTGGTTGTGGTTGTGGTCGTCGTCGTTGTCGTGGTTGTGGAAGTTGTAGTCGTCGTCGTTGTCGTGGTTGTGGAAGTTGTAGTCGTGGTGGTAGTTGTAGTCGTTGAGGTTGAAGTTGTACTTGAGGTTGTACTTGTAGTTGTTGTGGTCATCGTTGTCGTTGTAGTGGTCGTTGTATCACCCGAGGAGGTGGACGTTGTGGATGTCGTGGTGGTTGTGCTTGTTGTAGTGGTGGTTGTGGAAGTTGTCGACAACCCACTTCCAGTACTTGTGCTTGTTGAGGACGTTGAGCTGGAGGTGCCGCTTCCTGTTGAACTTGTCGTCGTGGTTGTCGTGGTAGTTGTCGTGGTGGTTGTTGTAGTTTTTGTTGGAGTAATGGGGATGCTTGTGGATGATGATGTAGATGAAGATGAAGTGCCACTTCCAGTCGAAGTTGTCGTGGTGGTCGTGGTAATCGTGGTGGTCGTGGCGGTGGTTGTTGTTCCGCTCCCAGTGTCTGTTGTGCTCGTTGTCGTCGTGGTTGTGCCACTTCCTGTTGATGTTGTGGAAGTTGTCGATGTCGATGTTGTCGTTGTTGTACCACTTCCAGTGCTGCTTGTGCTGCTCGTTGTAGTTGTCGTCGTCGTTGTGGTTGTGCCACTTCCCGTGGACGTTGTTGTTGTTGTTGTTGTAGTAGTAGTAGTAGTAGTTGTTGTTGTTGTAGTAGTAGTTGTTGTAGTAGTTGAAGTAGTAGTTGTTGTTGTGCTGATGGTTTCTGTACCACTACTCGATGTTGTTGTTGTAGTTGTTGTTGTTGTTGTTGTAGTTGTTGTTGTTGTTGTTGTTGTTGTTGTTGTTGTTGTTGTGGAAGTTGTTGTTGTAGTAGTAGATGACGACGATGAGGATGACGTTGGTAATGTTGTCCCGCTTCCAGTTGAAGTCGTTGTGGTAGTTGTTGTCGTGCTGGTTGTGCTTGGTGTTGTAGTTGTTGTGCTGGTCGTTGTTGGCGTTGGGGTTGGTGTGGGTGATGGCAGGATGGCGGTGCCTGTTGACGAGGATGGCCTTGGGGACACTGTTGGTGCTGAAGGCGGCACGAGCGGAGGCGGGCTTGATGGAACCAATGGACTGCTGGGCAACACTGGCGGTGTTGCCGGCTGTGAGGGCGTTGGTAGCGGCGACGGCGACGTTGGTGGCACGAGCGGCGGCGGTGATGTGGGCGTCGTTGGTGGTGCAGTGGGCGGTCTGGGCAGTGGCGTGGGCACAACAGGCCTCGACACAACCACGCTGGTCGTCGCAGGGACAGCGGTTGCTGTTGTCGATGCGCTGGGACTTGCAAAAGTGGACGGCCGCAGTAGTGTAGGCGACGCAGACGAAAAGATGGGTACACCTGTGCTGGGAACAGGGGTTTGGCTCGGAACCACGCTGACAACCGATGACGGCGTGGGCGAAATGCTTCCACTTGACACGACGGGAACACTGATGCTCTGCGATGGCAGCACACTTGACGGTGCAGTTGCTGAGGACGAGACGGGCGCGATTGTGGCAGTTGTCACAATTGACGTCTGTGTCGATATGGGCACGCTTGCGCTTGACCGCGGCAGGCTTGAGACAACTGATGACGATGTCGTGGCAGTTGTGGTTGTGGTTGTGGTTGTGGTTGTGGTCGTGGTCGTGGTCGTGGTCGTGGTCGTGGTAGTTGTGGTAGTTGTGGTAGTTGTTGTTGTCGTCGTCTTTGTTGTGGTGGTGGTAGTTGTGGTAGTGGTGATTGTGGTGGTTGTTGTCGTGTCGCCCGAGAAGCCTGTTGTACTTGTGGTGGTGGTGGTTGTCGGTGGCGATGTTGATGTTGATCCACTGCCAGAACTCGATGTTGTCGTCGTTGTCGTACCTGTTATTGTCGTGGACGCCGTTGTTGAGTCAAGTCCACTTCCTGTGGTGGTGGTTGTTGTTGTTGTTGTAGTTGTAGTTGTAGTTGTAGTTGTAGTTGTAGTTGTAGTTGTTGTTGTTGTTGTTGTTGTTGTTGTTGTTGTAGTTGTAGTTGTAGTTGTAGTTGTAGTTGTAGTTGTAGTTGTAGTTGTTGTTGTTGTTGTTGTTGTTGTAGTTGTAGTTGTTGTTGTTGTTGTGGGAAGGGACGTTGTACTACTCACGTCTCCAGACGAAGACGTCGTGGTCGTGGTCGTTGTCGTTGTGGTTGTCGTTGTCGTGTCTCCACTGCCTGTTGAGGACGTTGAACCAGCAGTACTTGTGGTTGTCTGCACAGAACTTCCAGAGGAGGTCGTGTCAGCATCTGTCGCTGTGGTTGTCGTAGTCAACGTGGTTGTTGCGGCTGTGGTGGTTGTGGTTGTTGGTGTTGTTGTAGTCACCACCGGCGATGGGCTTGGCGTTGGCTGAAGTGTGGTAGATGCACTTTGCGTTGCTGTGGGCGTGGGCGTGTGCGTGGGCGTTGGTGTTGGCGTGACCGTAGCAGCGCTGGTTGGCGGCTGTGGCGATGACAGCGGCGGCGGCGACTGAGGAACGTCGGGGGACGAGGGCACCGGTGGCGGTGAGGATGACGGCAGCGTGTCCGTGAACAGCGGCGAAGGCGGGCTGAGTGGCGGTGGTGAGATGGGACTGCTGGGCCGAATGGGCACGCTGGACGGCGGTGGTGTCACAACAGGCACTGTCGGTGACGGAGAGGGCGATGTAGATTGTGCCAGCGATGACGACACAGTGGCAACCGAAGACGACACAAGCGGCACAGCTGTCGTTGTTACCACACCCTCGCTGACAATGCTGCTGCTGATGCTACTGCTGCTGCTGCTGGGAACAGTCGCTGACGAGGGTGGAGGGACCAAGGATGAAGTCAACGTCGAAGAAGGTGAAACACTGCTGTCCACGGCTGATGTGGGCACAGGAGACGGCTGAGAAGCCACGGCTGAACGGGTGGAAAGCACCGAACTACTGCTGGCTCTCAAATCGCTGCTCGAGGGTGCAAGCACAGATGTCGCTGTTGGGAAGGGCGTGCTTTCGATGGGACCAAGCCCGCTGACTGCTGAAGATGCGGGTGATGGAGACGGTGTTGGCTGTGCAGAGAACACCGTCGTGAGGATTGGCGCAGAAGAGGAGGATGTCACCGCGATGGAAGCCGATGGTAGCTGAGGCGTTGGCGACGGACTCCCACCGGACGCTACCACTGTCCCAATTGCACTTGCCGTTGCTGTGGCTGCTGGTGTTGTTGTTGTCGTGAAAAGAGAAGACGAAGAAGGAGTAGGCAGCGTCGACGGGGATGGCGAGGGTGAGTTCAGCGCCAAGGATGACGATGGTGCAATTGGAGGAGACACGGAGCTCGGTGAGGGCACCTGGATCTGTGAGCTGCTGATGGGCAGCACCACAACAGAGGAGGATGGTGGCCCAACAAGTCGACTGGAGGCTGCCGGAATAATCAGGCTTGAGGACACCACGGGCACAACTGGACCAGTGGAATCCGTGGTGGTCGTAGTTGTTGCTGTTGTTGATGTGGTCGTGGTAGTTGTTGTGGTACTTGTCGTGGTACTTGTCGTGGTCGTGGTTGTTGTGATTGTCGACACGTCACCAGATGAACTTGAAGTCGTCGTAGTTGTGCTGGTCGTCGTTGTAAGTGGTGACACCGTGGGGTCACCAATTGCCTGCACTGTGGCTTGAGCGCCATACGCTGACTGAACCCACGCCTCAAACTCAAGAATGAAATCGCGAAGCGCGGTCGCAACTGCGTCTGCCTTTGGTGCATCCGTAATCACTTGGATCACAAGCACCACCCCATCGCCACCAACAGCCTCTCGCCTCGATCGCACTTGCTCATCAAGCCGCAGCACAACATCCTCCTCAACCACAAGCGGCGCCAGCAGCTCCACAATCGCACCACGCACCTCTTCTGCATCAATCGCACTCACGTTCACATTGCTGATCACCAGCGTGTGCGACACAAGCACGCGTGTCACCACCACAGGAAACGACGATGTGCTTGTTGATGTCGGCGCCAGTGTCACCTTGCCCCCACCACTGCTTGTGCTTGTGCTTGTGGTGGTAGTTGTTGTGGTGCTTGTGATAGTGCTTGTGCTTGTCGTGGTAGTTGTTGTGGTGCTTGTGCTTGTGATAGTGGTTGTCGTGGTTGTCGTGGTGGAAGACGACCCACTTCCTGTGTCTGTTGTTGTCGAGGTTGTGGACGTGGTGGCGGTTGTAGTGGACGTACCGCTTCCAGTTGATGATGATGTTGTTGTAGTTGTTGTGGGAAAGACTCCACTTTCCGTCGTTGTCGTCGTCGTCGTCGTCGTCGTCGTCGTCGTCGTCGTCGTCGTCGTCGTCGTCGTCGTCGTCGCTGTCGCTGTCGCCGTGGTTGCAGTTGTGGTGCTGGTGGTGGTTGTTGTGGTAGTGGTAGTGGTCGTCGTGGTGCCACTTCCGGTATTGGTTGTTGTGGTGGGGGTGGTCGTTGTCGTTGTGCTGATTGTCGCGCTGGTCGTGGCTGTTGTGGTTGTTGGCGTGCTGGTCATGGTTGTTGTGGTGGCCGATTTCGTCATCGTGGATGTCGCACCGCTTTCACCGCCGGTTGTGCTGCTTGTTGTGGCTGTCGTGGCTGTTGTGGTCGTGGTCGTGGGTGTTGTGGTTGTCAATGAGATGGTTGAGCTGGAGGTTGTGGTCGTGTCGCCGCTTCCATTCTCCGTGGTCGTGAACCCCGTTGTCGTTGAACTTCCTGTTGATACCGTGGAGGTTGTGCTTGTGATCGTGCCACTACCACTGCTGCTTGTGCTTGTCATTGTCGGCGTGGGTGTTGTGCTTGTGGTTGTGGTGCTTCCGCTGCCACCACCTGTCGTGGAGGTTGTCATGGAGGCTGTCGTGGAGGCTGTCGTGGAGGCTGTCGTGGAGGCTGTCGTGGAGGCTGTCGTGGAGGCTGTCGTGGAGGTTGTCATGGAGGTTGTCATGGAGGCTGTCGTGGAGGCTGTCGTGGAGGTTGGCGTGGAGGTTGGCGTGGAGGTTGGCGTGGAGGTTGGCGTGGAGGTTGGCGTGGAGGTTGGCGTGGAGGTTGGCGTGGAGGTTATCGGCAGCGACGTGGTCGTGTCGCCACTTTCATTTCCTGCAGTTGTCGAAGTTGTCGAAGTTGTCGTGTCACCACTGGCAGTCATTGACGTGGTCGTGATTGGAAGTGTGGTAGTGGTGGTGGACACAGTTGTAGGATCTGCTGTGGAAGACGTCGTACTGGTGCTGTCAGCGCCTGTGGTGGTTGTTGTGGTCGTTGTGGTCGTTGTTGTTGCTGTTGTTGTGAAAGGGTTTGGTGTCGGCGATTGCTGTGGTGTGACTGGCGCTACAGAGGTGACAGGTGCAATGATGGCTGTGGACTGCGGCGGGTTGATCAGGATGCTGCTCGCTGTTGGCTGCACGACCGAACTCGACACCACAATCACCTGCGGTGGTGGCGTTGGCAACACGCTTGACACCGACACACTGCTGCTGATGATGCTGCCCGTGGTGGCCAACGTGCCGCTGCTGCTTGCCACCGAGGGCTGGACAGCGGCTGATGACACAATGCTGTCGGGCACAACCAATGTTGCAGATGGAGACGGGAGTGCTGATTGCACCGAAGACACGGATGGTGACGGTGATGATGATGATGGTGGTGCATGCGACACGGCAGGGGTTGGAAGAGATACCGTCGTTGTGCGACCTGCCGATGTCGCTGTCGGAGACACGCTGCCGCCACCAATGTTGCTGCTTGAGGTTGTAGTTTGCGAGGACAGCAGGGATGGAGAGGGCAGCAGCGCGGATGCGGCAGCTGTTGAAGCAGGTGCGCGCGTCATCGAAGGTGTTGACAGCGTGGTCAGTGCGAGGGATGTGCTCGCTTCAACCGAACCGTCGTCTGCCGTGGCTGATGGCGGCAGGGTTGCTGCAGATGATGATGGCGGTGAGAGGGATGGCAGCTGCGTTGGCAGCGGCGAGGCAGACTGTGCCGCTGTTGCTGCAGGTGTGGCGCTGGCGCGTGCTGGCAAGCTGCTTGAAGCCGATGACGTGGTGGGCAGCGATGCTGTTGTCTGTGACACCTGATGCATGATCGAGCTCCTTGGAGGCACCACGACCACCGACGACACCGGCACCAACACCGAAGACCGCACTGGTGCAATCATCTAAGCGTGACAGCAAACCACAATACAGTATGGCGAGAGAGAGTGTGTGTGTGCAGCAGCGGCAGTTGAAGCGTGAGCTCTCATGTGAAAGGTGTAATTTGTGCGCGCATACTGCCGTGCGCAGATATCGATGCATGGTGGCTTGTCACTCAACACGTCAACAACACAACCTGATTAACACGACATGCACACTGTCGACTGGCATGTGCTCGGGACACATACACTCACACAAACACACACGCGCGCGCGCGCCCGCGCACACACACCCACTCACTCACTCACCCACACAACCACACACACACTCACTCACTCACTCACTCACCCACACAACCACACACACACTCATTCACACAAGCATGCGCACTGTGTGTCGGACCTGTGTCGATGAAGGTGCCAGTGCTGGTGTTGAAGAGACGGGTGCAGGCACAAGCAAGCTCGGCTGTATGACAGTGGACGTGCCGGTTGTTGGCTGCTGACTCATGATGGCCGAAGTCGTGAACGCTGGTGATGGCGTTGGAGCAGCTGCTGCTGTCGCTGGCGTCGAGGCCACCAACACTGTTGAAGTGGGGCCTGCGGGCTTGCGTGTTGGTGAGGCTGGTGGTCTCGGCAGTGTTCTGTTGAAGACGGGCGGCGGCGTTGTTGGAAACAGCGCGAGAAGGTGGTCGACGGTGACGTTGCCCGATGCATCACGCCTTCCTATTCTCCTTTCTGCGCCTGCTGCAAGCACCAAAGCATGAAGGTGAAATCAGTGCTGCGCATGTGCGGTCCACGCACAAGCTGTGTTGGCACATACAAGCGCACATACAGGCACACTGGCAAGCGTACACAGAAACACATGCTTCCGTCTTCGTGCAGAGGAAACAAACGACACACGCACAGGGTTGCACAAACAAGAAACGACACACACGCCATCCTCAACGCACGATTGCGCGAGCTGGGCTGCCCCAGACCGTACCGTGGCTGTGACCCCGGTTGGTGCTCAGGGCAGGATTGTTGTGGTGTGGCGCAACGGTGGTTGCTGTGGGTGCGGTTGGTGCCACTGCGGAGGCCGTTGTGACCTCTGAGTTGGAGGTAACTGTGACACACACCACCACAAGGGCAAACGCAAAGAGGCGCAGCAGCGCCAGCACCCCAGAGCGCACAGGGGCTCGTCGCTCTGCCATGTTGGTGCCGCCGCAGCTGCTGATCTGGTTCAACGGGCGTCTCAGCATGCCACGACCATGGCAAGGCGAAGACAACCGCAACTCAAGAGTGCGTTGACAAGCGCGTGCGCCGTTCTTGAGTGGGGCTGTGTGGCGCAGTATTGTGCTAGGCAGGATATGACTTGGGAGAGAGAACACGGCAAGCAAACACGACCCAAACGAGGACGGGACCAGCTGCTCAAAGTAAAGGCAGGTGGGTCTGCTCTGTTGTGTGCTGTTGTGTGCTGTTGTGTGCTGTTGTGTGCTGTTGTGGTGTTGATGGTGGCTACTGGTTGGTTGATTGGGGGTGAAGGTGAAACAATAAGGGGAAGAAGGAATGTACGCTGCGGGTGTTGTGCGGAAAAGTTGCTGGTGTCTTCACAAAACCAACTTTTTTTTTATTTTCCTGATTCGGGGGTGGTGTGCAATTGGCAAACCAGGCTCAAGCGGTGCAAATTGCAACGAGTGCCGTTTGCGCGGGCAAAATACAAACGCAAGGAAAGGAAGGACACTGGTTGGAACGTGTTTGTGCAGCAGCAAAGATGGTGGTGGAAGCACGGCGACGTCGGCGCGAGGATGACGATGATGATGACGATAATGATTGTGGCGGGCAGACTGAACAACAGCAGGTGGTAGAAGGTGAGGAGGAGCATGAAGGTGGGGAAGACGAGGAAGACGATGAAGATGAAGAAAAAGGTGGCACATTGCAGGAAGACGAGGAGGACACGGAGGCGATGCCTGCGGTGGACACTGCCGATGACGGTGATGGTGGCGCTGCTGCTGCTGCTGCTGAAGAAGAAGAAGAAGCAGAAGAAGAAGAAGGTGTGCAGGGGCGAAAGCACCACCGGTTGACGCAGCGGGGTCGTGGGCCAGAGAACGTTGAAGTCGTTGGAGACTTTGCCACCTTGAAGAAGAGAACGCGCGATATGCTTCGCACAGGACACAAGGCCAGCCCTCTTCTTCGCCCCATCTTCAGCCAAGACAACGCCGCCTTTGACGGTCTGTCTGCATGTGTGTGTGTGTGGGGGGGGTGCGTTGTACGTGTATGTACGTTTGTGTGTGGGTGTGGGTGTGGGTGTGGGTGTGGGTGTGGGTGTGGGTGAGTGGGTGTGGGTGAGTGGGTGTGGGTGAGTGGGTGTGGGTGTGGGTGAGTGGGTGTGGGTGAGTGGGTGTGGGTGTGGGTGAGTGGGTGTGCGTTGTGCGTGTATGCACGTTTGTATCTCTGTCTCCTTTGTCGCTTCCCTTGCGTTTGTATGTGGTCGGCCAACTCAACCCACCCCCACCCCCGCTCCGCCTTCCCTTCCCTCCCCTCACATACACCCTTCCACAGAATCACCGCGCGGGGACTCGTTTCGGGAGAGCGTTTGCTTGTTTCTGATGCAGCTGATTGAGGACCCTGGGCTGCACGCGACGCTGTGCTCGGACCTGCTGGACGTGCTGATGGTGGGCGTGGACTCGCTCAGCGGCGACGGGTTGGTGGCCGTGTGCACGCAAATCCTGCGCGCCGTCAAGGCAGCCAACGGGAACGAAATCACCCAAAACTCGACCACGGCGACGCCCATGTCCCCCAACAACAAGCCGTCGCCGTCCAAGCGCAGGGGCACGCAGCCGCGCACGGGCACGGGCAAGGTGTTTGAGCTCATGCCCAAGGCGCTGTCTCGCCTGGAGACGCTGGACGCCATCACGGGCGAGCTGGACACGGGCAACGCGTTCAAGTCGTTCTTCCTGAACCGGCTGTGCAACATGCCGTGGCCACCGCAGCACGTGCTGCCGATTGCCGACGCCTTCAAGACGGTCAACTTTGACGCGGACCAGTTCAAGTTTGCCGCTGCCAAGCTGGTGCGGTCGCTGCACGATGTGGCCACGGAGGAGGTGCCACCGCTCGTGTACCAGCTCCTGTTGCTCTCTGCCAAGGGCCAGCGCGCCGTCATTCTGCAGGGGGTGCTTGCGTTTTGTGCGGCGCAGTCGTCAGCGGCGGTGCAGGCGCCGACGGCTGCGCTTCGCCACGCCCTCACTCAGGCCCAAGGCACCGTCCTCATGCACATCTCCTTTGCCGTCAAGCAGGACCAGGTGTGTGTGTGTGTGTTGTGTGTGTGTGTGTGTGCTTGCGTGTGTGCGTGTGTGTTTGAAGAAGGAGAATGCAACACGCGTGGTTGGATGTGTTTGCTTGGTTGGTCGCTCATCTCCGCCGCCCTCCCATTCGCCGTGTTGTGATAACCGACTACATGCCGTGTCAGGACCTTGGACGAGAGCTGTTGAAACTGATCAAGGCGGAGGCAAGCGTGTCACCGTTTACTGTTGCCGCTGCCCTCTGTCTTCTCACCGTTCCCCGGTTTGAACAGACCGTGCAGTCCGTATTCATGGTGAGCCATTGCCCCGTGTCTTGTGTCATGCGTGCGTGTGTGCGTGTGTGTGTGTGTGTGTGTTTGAGTGTGTGTGTGTGTGTGTTTGAGTGTATCTCAACATCATTTTGCCATGACGCTCGCCCACACATGCACACACACCCATGCACACTCGTGCTCCACGCACGGCCATCACCGCCGAATTCACCACTGCCCAGAACATGACCACGAAGCACGCTGCGACGCAGGACCGCCTGTGTCGTGCCGTCTGGCTCGCGCCATTCTGCAAGCAGAGCCTTGATCCACTCCGCACTTTCAAGGTGGCGCTGTGTGTGTGTGTGTGTGTGAGTGTGTGTGAGTGTGTGTTTTTGTGATTGAGTGTGTGTGTGTGTGTGTAAACATCTCGTCTTTCGGTTTGTGCATATGTTTGCACTTGCAGTTGCTGCTGCTGCTACTGCTGCGAATCTCTTTCCTTGCTTAGATGCAGCGATTCTTTGTGGCTCATCACTCCCCCCCCCCCACACACACGTTGTACATGTGTGTCGCAATTGGCATCACCAAACCAGACTGTGGTCAACGGGACCGCCAACGGCTGGGACTACATCACCGCCCCGCTGCTGCGCCTCTGCTTCTACTTCCTCGACTCTGTCAAGAGCGCGTCAGTTGTGTGTGTGTGTGGGGGGGGGGGTGTTTGTGTGTGGGTGTGGGTGTGGGTGTGGGTGTGGGTGTGGGTGTGGGTGTGGGTGGGTGTGTGGGTGTGTGTGTGGGTGTGAATGGGGGATGTCGACGTACTCCACTCATTTTCGTTGTCGTGGCAAGGTCTCCCATCACCACTCATCCTGTCACACGCAACCCAATTGTGCTTTTTCACACACTCACTCACACACACACACACACACACACACACACACACACACACACACACACACACACACACACACACACATGTTCCCTCTTCAACTCAAACACGCAAAACACGTTTGCATAAGCAGGGGTGTGAGTGTGGGTGTGAGCAGCGCTGTTGCCTCCACGGCACAAGCCGCTGTCACGGCCACAGCCACGACTGTGTCGGCAGCAGCTGCATCAACATCAACAGCCATGCCTGCGTCCCTGCTGTCTTCAAAGGGGAGAGTGGGCGACCAGTTGCGTGCAGATATTGCGTCAGCTGTCATTTCAAAGGCGTTTGGAATGCATTCGTCCGCGCGATCGTATGTGATTGACGAAATGATTTCCCGCATCATCACGCGTTCCTCCCCAAACATCAACGGCTACCTCGCCCTCTTCTCCAGGTCCTTGGTTTGCATAACTGTGTGTGTTGATGAGCTGTGTGTATCTGTGTTAATGTGTGTGCATATGAACTCTGTGTGCGTTTATGTGTTTGTGTCTGTGTGCGTTCACTCTGCTCGTGTGCGTGCATCTACTTCCACCGTGGTTCTCACCCACTTTCCCTCGTCCTTCCTCGTCCACCCCTACCCCCTTCTCTTGACAACTGCACTATCAGGCTCATTCGTGCGCACGTGCACGATTTCGGCGATTTCACGGAAAAGCTGCGGGATGTGCTCGACTATCTCGTGTTTCTTCCCTCGGACCAGAGCACAGCCATTCTGCAGGTTTGTGGATGCGTGTGTGTGTGTGTGTGTTGTATATGTGTGTATGCTTCTGTGTGTGTGTGTGTGTGTGTGTGTGTGTGTTTGGTCAGGTGTATTGGTTGTGGAGACACGTGTGCGATCCCCACAAAGCAACATCAATCGCGCTTATTCCTCGAGCACACTCCAACTCTCACCACACACAACACACACACAACACACACAACACACACACACAACACACACACGCATACACACATACGCATACACCTGACCAAACACACACACGCGCACACACACACATGACACGCCACTCATGCGCACCAACCAAACTATCACCACCCCTCAACACCTCACCACTCACTCACCCTCCCCCCGTGTGCTTACTTTACTGCTCAGGCGCTGCTACCGCTTGTGACGACGACGGAGCGGCTGAAGGAGGCGTGTATCTTGGTGCTGCGCAAAGCGCTCTTCAACCGCTGCATCGACGCCCGCATGACAGCCGTCCGCGGATTCCTCCTCCTGCTCCAATCGTTCCACGTCTGTTTGTTTTGATTGTTGAGTGAGCTTGTTTGGTTTGTTTGTTGGTTTGTTTGTTTGTTTGTGTGTTTGTTTGTTTGTTTGTTTGTTTGTTTGTTTGTGTGTTGTACTTTGTTGTGGACGTGCGCGTCCTATGGCTCGTTTTCAACCAGTTTACTGACCAGTGTCGCTGATGCTCTTGTTGCAACCCTCGGCATCCTCTCAGGATCCCATTCTGTGCACAGAGGTGAGCATCGCTCGGAGGTGATGGCGCTGCTTGTTGCACCATCAACAGAACCAATGCCAACAGCACCAATCATAGCCTGTCATCATCACCGCAACGAACTATGCCACACTGCACGACTCACAATCTGGCTCTGCATCTAACCAAACACGTGCGAACACACGAATGCAACAACTGATTTCCGTGTGGACATTTGTTCCCCTTCAGATTACCACATCGCTGCGCCGCTGCTTCTCGCAGCAGCTCGCTGTTCGCCAGCTTCTCTACCAGGTGCAGGTTGCTGCCATGTGTATGTGTGCGTGTGTGAGTTTTTGTGTGTGTGTGACTTTGTGGAAGAGTTTGTGTGTGTGTGTGTGTGTGTGTGTGCATTGTCGTCCTCCACCCTCCTCCTCCTCCGCCCCCAACACACACACACACACATCACATCACACACCTCTTGCTTCTCTGCTCAGGTGAGCGCCGCCACTGCGTGCGCATCGCCCTCCACCGCCCCCGCCATCGCCGACCTCCTCGACAACCAGGTTGCACGCCGCTGTGCCTCAGTGCATGGTGTTGGTTGTATTGGCATCACCATTTCATCCGTTGTCCCTGTACATTCTGGCCTGTGCTCGTGATTTACCCCTTGTCCTTGCGCTCGCGGCGCCACCCTCCTTCTCACACAACCCCCTTTTCTCACACTTCTTTCCCCGCCAAACCCGGCAACAACGCAACACAAAAACATACGTCTCCAGCGTGTTCGTCTGCTGCGTCAGACGGACGGCGAGTCCGGTCCCCCGTTTATCATGGCGTCCATTGTCAACGACAAGGCAGACGCGGTGCGCAATACGTGTTTTGTGTGTGTGTGTGTGCGTGTGGTGTTTGTGTGTTTGTGTGTTTGTGTGTTTGTGTGTTCGGTGTTGTGTGTGGTGTGGTGTAGTGTGTGTGTGTGTGTGTATGCTCGTGTATGCGTGCGTGCGTGCGTGTGTGTGCGTGTGTGTCGTTTCATTTCGTTTCGTTCGTGCGCCGCGAATGGACATGTTCGCCTCTTTCCCCTCCCCTCCTCATCTTCCTCTTCCTCTTTAACGGCACAGAATCACCAAACGGACTCCATTGGCGGTCTCATCAACGCGCTACATACCCTCTCCACCATCAAAGGTGTGCCTCCGTGACATGTGCAGCGCACAACAACTCTCCACAGTGGTGTTTGCACGCTGATTCATCTCAACCCCTACAGACACTACCAAACAAACACGCACGCACAACGCACATTCACATCCTAACAAACACGCACACACACGCACACATGCGTACTTGTGCGTGCTCTGCAGAGGTGTCGGAGACACACCTGTCGTCGTTCCTGTCGCAGTTTGTGGCGAAGATGCTGAAGAGCGATCTGGAGGACTTTGAAATCGACAAAGCCGCAGATTTTAGCGACGCCAGGTGACTCGTTCGAGCACTGCACTATGGTGTCAAATCATTCATTCAAGCTGCAACGCAGCTCGTGTTTGCAAAGTTGTTGATGACACCAACATTGTGTTGAACCTCACGTTGCCCCCCTCCCCCGCACGCCCTTTCTTTCTCTCGTTTCCCGCCATCATCATCGTTAATGTCATCTTCGCAAACACGATCTCCTCCTTCCCTCCTTTCTATCTCTCCCACTAGCAGTGGTCCCAGTGCACGGAACACGGCTGCCGCGCATGCGCTGATTGAGTGTTATGACGCGTGCATCAACATTGTCGTTCAGAACGAGTTTACGCTCGAGCGCTGCCAGCACATTGTCACCCTCCTCAGAAAGCGACAGGTGCTTGCGGAGCAGTGGTGGTGGTGGTGGTGGTGGTGGTGGTGTGGTGGTGGTGGTGGTGCTTGCGCTGCGGTTTGCCCTTGCTCCGTTTGACACACTTCTGTTTTATTAACGCAACAGCTGTCTCAGAACGCAAAGCCGTCTTTTTCTCGTGGGTATTCGCCCCTGACACACACGCACAACACACACGCACAACACACGCGCACACACACACATGCACACAATCTCTCTCTCTCTCTCTCTCTCTCTCTCTCTCTCTCTCTCTCTCTCTCTCTCTCTCTCTCTTCGTGCAGACGGTGTGTGATTTGCTGAAGGAAGGCAACCGCAAGCGAAAGGCGACAGACCGCTGCCTTATCTCCATGCAGACGCTCTCTCGTGTCTTCTCGTTTATCCTCATCAACACAGACCCAGACGACGCGGTAGGACGACCCATATTCTTGTGTTTGCGTGCATGTGTGTGTAAATGTCCGCGTGTGTTTATACGTGCGTGTGTGTGTCTGTCTGTGTGTGAGTCCATGTGCAGTTGAATGTATCTGGACGAACAAGCTCAAATCCTTGTTTGATCTTGTGTTCACGCTGCCTCCGTCACCATTACCGCCCGCTTGCCCTCGTCCAGGCGCCGCAAGCAATCCTGACAAGCAAAGTCTTCCCCATGCAGTTCTTCCTTTACGCATCTGCACATCTTTTGTCACAGGTTTGGACACACATAATGCACTTACACACATGTCATGAACTGCACACACACATATTCACACATACACTCGTTCGCCCATTGTTGCATGGTTTGTCGTGGCCTGACTCTGCGGTTTGCATGTCACGTTCCATTCATTTTTCCATGTGTACCCTGTCATTGCGCGAATGCCAGAATGCAAAGAGTGCAGACGCCGTGCAGATTGTTAGCATGCTGCTGCGAGAGGTGTGCTATCATGTTACCGCAGATGTGTGCGTGTATGTGTGTGTGTGTGGTGCTCTGCTTGTAGCGAAGCATGTTGTGCGTCATATCCCGTTTTATCCCCAACGAACGCACGCACAGCCCGCCTACTCATACTCAAACATTCACATCCACGCACACACACACACACACTCTCTCTCTCTTCCTCTCAGAGCGCGCGCTCGCTCGCGTCATCACCGCTGGCCAAGCTGTATGACGACAAGAAGAACAAGGTGACTATAGCGTGGGGTTCGTGCGTTCGTATGTCCGCATTCAATGTGCTGTGTGTGTGTGTGTGTGTGTGTGTGTGTGTGTGTGTGCGTGTGTGTGTGTGTGTGTGTATGTGCGTGTGTATGTGTGTGTCTGGAAGGAAGGGACGTTGGTTGCATGCATCTGGATTGACTTGACCACGCATGGTTGTATGCCTTGATTTTATGTTCTGCACACTTGCCTTTCACACACACACACACACACACACATACACACACCTTGCCTTGCACGTGTGCAGGAGTATACCAGCTCTTGTGGAGATTTGCTCTCTGATTGTGTCCAAGTATTCACAGGGCTCCGTCACGCTTGCCGCCAAGGTCTGTCGCGTCATGTGCACTTCCCGTGTGTGTTCTGACGACCACACACACACACACACACACACACACACACACACACACACACACACACACACACACACACACACACACACACACACGCACGCACGCACGCACGCACGCACGCATGGTCGCAGGGAAAGGGGTAGGTGTGCAGTGCAGTTTGTTCTGGACATACTGAGACCTAAAGCCTGTGACCCCTTTGCCTCTCCGTTCTCACGCTTGTTGCTCGTCACACCTCCGCTGTTTTCACCATGGCCACCCCACAGCTGCATGCATTTCTCTCAAACCTGTGCGAAACAGGAGACACAATGGAGGACTCTTCCATTGTTAAGGTGCGCTCTGTGTGTGTCTGTGTGTGTGTGTGCGTGTGTGTATCTGTGTGTGTGTGTGCGTGTGTCTGCCTTCATGCCGAACAACTTGCACTTGGTGGTCTGTTTCAGTGGCTCGTGCTTGTCTCCCAAGCTTGTGATGTTACACCACTTCATTGCCTGACCTCGTTTCGCCCCCCCCCCCTAACACACACACACTCACTTACACTCACGCGCACGCAAACACAAACATACACACGAAAACACAAAAACACACACATACCCAGGCCGTGTGCCAGCAGCTGCTTGAAGCGGACAACTATGGCGATGTCGCATTCAAGCTGACGCTGGATGCACAACAGCACCTGGGGTTCATGCGCCTTGTAAGTTCCTTTCCGATATGCTTTCGTTTCTCTGAGGCTGATTCTGTGTCTCCTTTGCGTCTGTGTTTGCAGTCGAAGGCGATTGCTTCCATTTCAAATGCCTTTGCAGCACTCACTTTCTCACTTTCTCACTCACACTCATCCACGCGTTGACACACGCGCACGCACATGCGTGCATCCATGCGGATACAAACACCAACTCACACCCACACCCACACACACCCACACACACACACACACACATCTCTGATTTAGGATGAGGCGGAGGATGATGAACAAGCAACGCTGCACTATCACATCGTCTCAAAGCGCGTGTGCGAAACAGCCGTCATCCCCGTCCTCCTCGCAGACGACTGCGATCGGGTATGCGAACACATCACTTGCACCCGCGCACATGCTCGTGCAACTCACGTGCTCTCCTTTTGTGTGTGTGAGTGTGTGTGTGTGTGTGTGTGTTTTGTTGTTGTTGTGTTGTTGTGGCTGTGCACGCACATGTGCATCTGGTGCGCATGTCACACATGTGTACACGCCACCTGCATTCCCTGCGTTTTCTCTCGCGGCCCCCGTTCTCATGCACATTGCACGCCATTGCTTCGCTTCTTCCAGCGGTTGGCAGACATCAACTTTGCCATCGATCAGTACACGTTGCTCCTCAAGTCCAACGCAGCGGTGCGTGCGTGTGTGTGTGTGAGTGTGAGTGCGCGCGTGCGTGTGCACATGTGTCTGTGTGTATGTGTGAGTGTGAATGTGTCTGTGCGCGAGTTGTGTGCGTGCGTGTGTGTTTTGCTTTGTTTGTCAAGTTGCTCGCTTGCCTGCCCTCCACCACCGCTCTCCACGCATCCCCCTGTTCGCTCTTGCTACTCACGTTCTGCTCTGTTCATCTTCACGCGGTGCAGATGGATGTGAATACGGATGAATCGCAGCCCGAGCTGCCGTGCGAGGATCCCTTGTACGAACGCCTTCTTCGCATCACAAAGACCATCAGTACGTCAAAGACGCGCGCGCTCTCAACTGCCACGCCATCACCACAATTGGCGCACAACACCAACATTGTCTGGTCGCTCGTCTCAACACGTTTGACACACGCGCTTGTGGATGAAACCACAAACACTGCAACACACAATTGCACACGCGTTCACACTTACACATCATATCAATGCACACACGCCAGAGGAAATGTTGCGGACCGTGTTTGAAGGCCGCGCAACGTGGCTGCGGTTCTTCAAGGTGCCGATGACGGGGTGGCTTGCTCGCTTGCAACAACCCTTGTGTTTTTTGCCATATGTACACTCGCGTCGTGCGGAAGATACGTGTGCCACAACACACGTATATGTACATGCGCACACGCTGACTCACTATCATGCGCATGCAACCCATCCTTTGCTTTGGTGCTGAATTCCCCCTCCCCCCGCCTCAGACAACGCGGAATCTATATGACACGCTCTCCAACGCCTGCAGAGCAGTGCTCCTCTTCTTCCAAACGTACGCCATGCCGCAGCTACTTGCAAAACAGATGGCCTTGAGCGTACTGTGAACCTCTCGTTTCACAACACACACATGCACGCACGCACACACACACATACACATACACACATACACGTACACACACGCGCGCACACACACACACACAAATGAGCACGCCATCTCTCCTTCATGCTCACACACACTCTCTCCCCTTTCTCATGTGTATTTTCGCAGACACAAAGACACGCGTGTACCAAAGCTCTTCCAGCGTATTGTGCACTTCTGCTCAAAGCACATGTCACCGGTGAGCGCCCATCCGTGTTGCACTGACACCGTGACAGACGAGCAGACGCGCGCAAACTCGCTCACATGTTGACGCACGTGAAAACACACACACACACACAAACCTGGCGTCTGTCCAGTTTGCTCACCTCAACATATCACTCATACTTGTTCACACACGCACATACACACACAATCTCCCCTTCCGTCTGGATTCCGCAGCAAGTGTACATCACCATCAACTTTGTGAACGAGGAAGAAAAAGAGGAAAAACCGAGAAAGGTGCGGTCGTGCATCTTAGTTGCTCCCGCTTCTCTCACACACTTGTGTGCTATCGCCGCCCCCATCTCATCCCTGTTCCTCGCGCCCTGTGCTTGGATTTGCATTGTCCCTCTGATTTTCAGCGCAAAGGTCCTTCTGCTGCGGACAAGCTGATTCCAAACGTCGTCTACGCGCTCGAGATTTACGAGAAATTCGTCATTCGGGTGGGTGCACTGTGACGTGGTGTGTGTGTGTGTGTGTGTGTGTACATGTGTGTGTGTGTGTGCGTGTGTGCATGTGTGTGTGTGTTTGTTTTTGTGTTACATTTCCTCTCGTTCTACAATCCATGGCCTCCAAGCCTCTCCTTTCTCTTTGTCCTACACTCACACACTCACACGCTCACACGCTCACACACTCACGCTCACACGCTCACACACTCACACACTCACATGCGCGCGCACAATGTCACCACCCATGCGTGCACACACGCACAGATTGAGAAGAAGGCGCATCTGAATCTGCTGAAGCACATGAAGCGCAGCACGGCACGCGACTTTCGCATTTCAGCACAGACCATGCAAGACATCATCTCCAATGCAACAGCCGATGATGATGAGGATGAGGATGAGGGTGCAGCCGAAGACGACGCTGGCGACGAAGGAGAGGAGGAGGAAGACGACGACGACGATGGTGATGATGAGCCTGCAGGCAAAGAAAACACACAACGCGGCAAACGCACGAGCAAAGGCATTGCAAAGCGCAAACCAACGACAAACCGGGGGCCGGCCTCCAAGGTTGGTCTGCCTGTCTGTCTTGTCTGTCTGTCTGTCTGTCTGTCTGTGTGCCTCACAGTATGTCAAGAGTACATGTACTTTGCGAACAAAACATGTCTGCATCAACTCTCAACCTCCTTTCCCTCCCGCCGCCCCTCGCCACGCACACACGCTTACGCTTCACGCTCACGTCAATAATATGTACTCATCCTCCTTGTCCCCCCCCCCACCACACACACGCACGCACGCACGCGCACACAGACGGCCAAGCGCAACGCACGTTGATGTTCGATGTTCGCTTTTCCTTTCTCTCCCCCCCCCCCCCACCTCTTCTCACATCCCGCTTTGCTTTCGCTCTTCTGTGCGATCGATGACTTGTTCAATTGTCAAAGGAAATGCTCAAAGCACACATGCATCCAGGCATCCACACCTTCTCTCTGTCTCACACAAGCAACGCAAGCGCCCCCATGCAGTCTGAAAGCACAGCCAATAAACGAACACCTCCCCACAACCACCCGCATGTCCATCCCACGATGGAACAACAACCAAATCACGTTGGTGACTGGGGGTCTGAACACAAGCGCAAAGCATGACGGAATATCAACGGCTCCAATACACTCTCAAGCACTCTCCTTCCATCGCACACATTTTTCGACTTTCTTTCACGCTGACGCTCACACTCACACGACACTCACACTCACAAAACACCCTCTCAAACGCAGCACTGCCTCAGAACACACGACACAAATTAACACACACTCTCTCTCACACACACGACACAGCCCCATATCAAGGGGCAATGGCCGCTTGTTGTGAAGTGGGATAGAAGGCAAACTTGGTCACGTCCAAGCTGTCTGCTTCAACAGGCTCATCAAAGACGAGCAAAACCTCCCCTGTTGACGATGAATCACAAAGTGGTCACAGAGATGATGTGAGTCGACTGGCGGGTGGGTGTTGGACCAGTGAAACAGCAAGGCATCAACAAACTGCAACGACAACTTAACCATTCTATTGCACGCACCACTGTCTTACTCTAACATTACCACCACTACCACCACCACAACAACAACAACAACAACAACAACAACAACAACTACAACTACAACAACAACGAACCTGTGTCCATGTCAATCTCGTAGCCAAGCAACTTCGGTGCAATGGCGTCTGGAGTAAAGCCATCCATGGGTTTGGCATCCTCTGAAGAAACTTCAACAACGTCGTTACCAGCCATGTCGCTAAACGCCCAGAACGGGAACGACACAAACACGCGCGTGACATTGAGGCCGATGCCCTTCAGCTTCATGGCATTTGCATCCGCAACAGAAATGGCAATCGTCACGACCTCAAGTCGCGTGTTGGGCCACGACAACAAGCTCGTGTGCAGTCGCTGAGATGCCGTCGCGGCCGTGGCGTTGTTAGAGGCCTGCAGTGACACAAACCATGCCTTGGTGTCGGTGGCATTCATCGTCTCTGAGAACGTCAGCGACAACAGCGGCTGCGTCAGGTTCATGTTCAGGGTCACGCTGAGCAGGCGAGGGCGCACAGCGTCGCCCACAAATGCTGACGCCTGCACAGCGCTGGTCCTGGGGATGCTCTCCAAACTGTTGACCGCAGCATCAACCACAAACCCAGCGTTTGCAAAGACATACGTTGTTTCGACACTCGTAAACAGGGACGTGTCGTCCTTCAAGAGGTTCAGCAGAGTGTTGTTGAGAGCAATGGTAAAGTTGAGGTCAACGGCGTTTGCGGGAGAAGCAACAACGGCAGCAGTCCAGCCGCTGAGCATAATCACTGCCCCACCACCGTCAGCACGCGAGGTGAGAGAAAGGCCATCAAGCAAAACCAGCGACGGCACGACAGGCTCGTCAAACGAGAAGCGAAGCGTGCCAGAGGACATGTCAACGTCGAAGCCGAGGAGTTGGGGTGGTGTTGCATCCGCGGTGAAGTTGGCCGCAAAGATGGCGTCTAATGGCGGGTTGGAAACAATGGCATTGCCAGCCATGTCCTCGATAAAACCAGACGACAAAGACAGCCCGCTCGTTGCTTTGGAAGAAAACAGGAGCGGACGCAGTTTCAGTGCCGTCAGATCCTCATAATCAAGTGTCCAGTTCAGCACAAGCCCATTCGTGGTGGACAGCGTGCCCTCTCGAGTTGTGTTGTGACTCGCGTGCTGTGACCAGAACAACACGTTGTCAATTGGACGGCTCGTGTTGGCGCGCACGGGCTCCGTGAAGGTGATGCTGAGGGAGCCGGCGTCCATGTCCACCACAAACGACTCAACCGCCGGCGGCACCGCATCCCCAACAAACGACCGCACCCCAAGCGCTGCGTCCCCGCTCGTCGCCTCGCTCCCAACACCAAACACATCAGCAACAAGCGTCCCGTCGTGCCACACAAACGCCGTCTCCGCACTCGTCACAAGCGGCTCAAGCACCTTCATCGCATCCACGTCCGCCTTGGTCAGCGCAACATACACCCGCTCCTGGTCCTCGCTCCAGCTCACATCCCCTCCAACAAGCCGCCGCTCCGCAACAATGCCACTCCCGCCACCAACGGCCCCTGCTGACTCCGCTGCCGACGCCGCTGCGCTCGCGTTCCCGTACGCCTGCAACACAAGCGCCGTCACATCCACCGTGCTCACATTCACGGCCTCGCTAAACTCAAGCCCAAGCACCTCAGACGTCATGTTCAGCGTCGCGTTCACCACAACCGGCGCCCGCGTGTCCGCTACATACGCTGCCACCTGCAGCGCTCGGTCCCCGGGCACCCCAATCACGTCGTTGCCTCGAATGTCGTCAAGCATCGCCGCCCCAACGCTCACATAGCTGTTCCCGCGACGCCGCCCAACCCCGCCAACAAGCGCAAGCCCCAACACGTCCGCCGCCGCGAGATCAATCACCACCTCAAACCCAACATCGCTCTCCGTGCCGCTCCCGCCATCCTCAAGCAGCGTGTACCCAACAACGCCCCCAACACCAACCACCCCGCGCCCGCTCTGCACCGTCACATGCTCAACCTTCAGCGTCCCAGGATCAACAACGTCGTCAAACGACAGCACAAGCTGCCGCGCCTGCATGTCAAGCACGCACTGCACCACGTTCGTCCGCTCAAGGTCCGCTGCGTGTGCCCGCGCCGCCTGCGCATCCTCCCGCCCAATCCCAAACACTGCGTTCCCCGCCATGTCCGCCACAAGCTCAGGCCCAAACCACATGAAGCTCGTCCCCGCATCCGCTGCAAGCCCCGCCTGCCGCTTGATCGCCGTCTCGTCGTCCTCGCTCAGCGACACCACAACCCAGCTCTGCCCAACCTCAACACCGCTCGCGGCCGCAACATCGCTTGCGCTGCCAACGCTGCTCACGTCGTTGCCGCCCCCGCGCACGCTGCTCCCCTCGCTCAGCCGGTGCATCTCAACCGTCGTACCAGCACCAGCACCAGCAGCACTCGCGTTCCGCACGCTCTGCAGCACAACCGCGCCAACATCAAACGTGCTCACGTTCACGGGCTCGTTGAACAGCAGCCGGATCTCAGCCGCCTCAAGGTCAACATCAAACGCTGCAAGCCGCGGCCCAACAACGTCCCCAATGTAACCCCGCGCACCAAGAGCGCCCGTCCGCTCAATCCCAACAACCCCGTTCGCCTCAAACGCCGTGTCCACAATCGCGCCAGCGCCCACGCTCAGGTACGTCGTGCCCGCGCTGGAGCCAACACGCCGCGCCTTGATCGCACGCATGTCCTCCCCGCTCACGTCAACCACAACCACAAGCACGCCCTCTGCCGTGCTGGACGGCGCGCTGCTCTCCGTCAGGCAGTACACCTGCTGCGCCGTGGTCTCGTTTGCCGTGGGCTGCAGGCACACCTGCGTGGTGTCGAGCGACGCCGGGTCCACAATCTCGCTGAAGGAGAGGATGAGCGACGCCGCGCTGACGTCCAGCACAAACGACTCCAGCACCGGCGCAACCTCGTCACGCAGCAGCTGCTGCACGACAAAGCCTGGGAAGGACAGCCCTGTTCCCACAACCGGGTTGTCGTTCATGTCAAGGATGGCACCGTCGCCAAAGTAGATATAACAGTCTCGCTTGACAACACACACCAGCGTGTCCTGCTTCAACAGGTTGAGACTGATGGGCTCCAGCTGCACAGCGATGAGCTGCGACGGCTGCGTCGACACAACACTGCCCTGCAGGTAGTCCACAGACGAGTAGCCGAGCTCCAGTGGCCCGCGCTCGTACGAGGACTGCAGTGACAGCGCCGACACGTTGAGCGAGCTGGCGTTGACTGTTTCATCGAAATACAGCACGAGCACACCCGTGTCCAAATCAATGGACTGGAAACCATCTGTTGGCAGACGGGGACGAATCACGTCCTCAAAGTACACGTCCACCACCTCTACCGCCTCTGGGACAACAAGACCCTCGGGGTCAGCAACAAAGCCCTCCTCCAAGTGCGCGACACAGTCGTCGCTTGCCGTGCACACGGGCACAGCCTTGAGCAAGTTGAGGTCCTGGGCCGACAGAATCACCGCCAGCGTGACCAAGTCGACGTCAATCACATGTGACGTGCTGGAGACGCGAAAGTCGACGGCGCCAGGCACGTTGCTGTCTGCCACGCTCGCGAGGAACCGAAGGTAAGTGATGTTTACTGCATTCACGTCCACAGGCTCCGAGAAGGCGAGCGTGATCACGCCCGTGGTCACGTTCACCTCGGAGAACACCAGCATCGGCGGCTGAGAGTCGGCAATGAACGAGCGGGGGAATTCCGCAGCGGACAGTGGCACGGGAACAACCGGATTGCCGGCCATATCACGCACAAGCGATGGCCCAAAGCTGAGGGCCGTGCTGTTTCGCTGCGACGCCAAGGTGGTCGTTGCACGCAGGTACTCCGAATCTTCCACAGACAAGTACACCGTCACAAAAGAGTCGTTGACTTGAGACACATATCCTCCAGTCAGCGTGTACACCTCCGAGGGACTGGCAGGGTTGTTGCTCAAGACGATGGATCGCACGTCAAACGTGGACACGTCAACGTTCTCGGAGAATTGCATGTGCATGGTGGCATTCACCATGTTCACGTCGTACACCTCCAGCTGGGGCGCAATGGCGTCGCGCGTGTATTGGTTCACGGGAAGGGCCAGCGTCGTGTCAATGGCAAAGACCATGTTGGTGGCCGTGTCATCCGTCACGCCATCTTCCGTCACCAGATATGTGGTTCTGTTGGTGGTGGCCAGGTCAAACGCAAGCTCAAGCTCGCTCACATCCGCAGAGGACAACTTGGCCACGATTGTGGAAGGAAATCCTGCGCTAAGCAGCTGCCAGGACTCCAGCGCGGGTGCGCCAAGCCGCAGGGTGGATGTGGGCGAAGTGCGTGTGTTCTGCAGCGAAATCTTGGACAGGTTGAACGCTGCCGCCGACACGTTCTCGTCAAAGCTCAACGTTATCTCGTGCGAGGTCATGTTCAGGTCAAATGCCACGAGCCGTGGGCGCACCAGGTCCACGCGATACACGCGCGGAGCAGCGTCAGCGGACACAGCAATGGGCACCATGGCGTTACCGGCCATGTCACGTGCAAACGTGCTCGTGCACGAGAGCACGGATGCCGTCTTGCTCTGCATCAGCGCTGGCACGGCCTTGATGGCCAGGCGGTCCGCGTCCGTGAGGTTGAACATGGCGCGGCGCGCGTCGATGCGCACCACGGGTGTACGGTCAGCCAGCGTCACGTTGAAGCGGCCTGTGTGGTCCCTGTTGAAGGTGAGCTGGGTGGCGTCGATGGAGGACGCGTTGATGGCCTCGTTGAACTCCAGCGTGACCGTGATGGGCAAAAGAAGACCATGCGCTCCCTCCGTCATTGTCAGGTCAAACGCCACCAACTCCGGTGGTGTGCGATCTGCCTCGTAGACACCGCCTGCACTCGCGGTGAGCGCAACAGCCTCGGCAGGCACGACGGCGTTGCCCGCCATGTCAACCACGGTGTCGCTGGCAAAGGAGAGGAAGGTGGAGGCGGCGTCCACCGCGAGAGACGTGGCCATCTGCATGCGGTCCAGGTTCTCTCGCGTCAGGGTGAGGGTGAGCTCCGCAGGGTCGTTCATGATGCGGGTGGCGTCGAGTAGGCTGGGAACACCAACCACCTCGGCATCCACTCCGGGCGTGGCCATGGTCGCGTTGGCCGCGGACAGGAACACCAGCTTGCTGGCGTTGAAGGTGTTCACGTCGATGGGCTCCGTGAACGTGAGCGTCACGTTGCCGCTGTCCATGCTCAGGCTGTAGCCAATCAGTGCCGGGGCCACTGCATCTGGCACCAGCGTGCGCACAGCAACCTGCTCAACCGCAAGCACGCGGTTGCTCATGTAGTCGGTCACGAGCTGCGGCGTGAGGGACAGACAGGTCGTGTTGGCCAGTAGGCCAAGCGGCCGCCGCCACGCAAGCTCGTTGAAGTCAGACTCGTGCAAGTGCACGCGCAGCCCAAGCACGCCAAGCTCTTCAAGGGCTGGTAGAAACTCCAGCGTCCAGCTCGAGGTGACATTGGCGGTGACAATGACTGGCATCATCGCGCCATTGACACCCGTGCCATTCCGCATCACCATCGTGTCGTTCAGCCATGTCTGATTGTTGTACAGGGAGGTGGCGTTCAGAAGAGTGCCGTTCACGACCGCGCTAGCGTTGCCAAAGAGTACGCTTGGATCAACGCAGTCCATGCTGACGGTGAGCTGCGTGACGTTGAACGTTGCTGGAACCACGGGCTCGACAAAGTACAGGTCGAGCGTCCTGTTGCTCATGTCGAGGTCAAAGGCGCTCAGCTGCGGCCGCACGTGGTCCTGCACAAACACCGCTGGAGCGTGGAGGTCCGCGGCGGTGCGCGGCACAACGGGCTGGCTCGCCATGTCACGCACAAACTGCGAGGTGATGGCAATAAAGGACGTGTTCCCGTTCACCATCAGCCCTGGGATGCGCATGATGTTGTAGATGTCGGCATGGGAGAGGTAAAACGCAATGCTCGTGTCGTTCACGCTCTCCGTCCTGGCGTCCATCACCGTGTAGGAGCTCAGGGAACTGGCATTATTGCTGTTGTTGCTGCTGCTGCTCTGAACCGCCGCCGACGCCGACGCATGGAAGGACAGCTGCGTGTAGTCGAGCGTGGTCACGTCCACGGGCTCCGAGAAGAACATGTCCACGCGAAGCTCGGGCCCACCGCCGTTGTGGCTCGTCGGGTCTGTGAGGTTCATGTCAATGTCAAACGCCAGCAGACGTGGCGAGACGGTGTCCGGGTAAAACGCGGACGCATGCAGCGCCGTTGCGTTCTCCGCCACGGTGTTGGGAATGAGCGTTCCGTTGACTGTCGACGCCGGTGTGGGGATGGGCACAACGGCAAAGTCCGACATGTCTGCCAGGAAGGTGGCGTTGTGGCTGATGTACGTGGTGGCCAGCGAGGAAGCGAGCGCAACGTCCCGCTTGATCTCGTCCATGTCGACCTTGAGCAGGTCCACCATGATCCACACGGCCGAGGGCCAAGGGTAGTACTCAATGTCCTCACCATACACGGTTCCACCCGTGAGCTGCACCGCGCCATCCCCTTGCGGAGGGACATTGTCGGCGTTGGCGTCATACCCGATGGGCAGCGCATCAGGTGTGGCCTGCAGCACAATATGGTCCGGGCGCACCGTGCTCACGTTGATGGCCTCCGAGAACTGCAGCCAGAGCGTTCCCGCAGTCATGTTGAGGGAGAAGTCCACGAGCTCCGGCGCAACAGCGTCCACGACAAGCACATCCACCTTTCGGGTGATGGCCACCACGCTCTGCAGCTCCACCACGCTTCGCAGCGCGCCTTCCTGCAGCCGCACAAAGGTGTTGTCGCGCGTTGTGGCGAGGTCTGGTCGCCGCTTCAGCGCATTCAAATCGTGCTGTGTCAGCTGCACAACAATGTCAAAGCCATGCGGGCTGGCCGTCGAACCGCCCTGCAGCGTGTAGTACTCTGGAACCATGGCGCCGGGCACGATGTTCACAATGCCAGCGGACTGCTGTAGCACGATGCGGGTGGGGTCGAGCGTGGACGCGTTCACCACGTCGTCGAAGAACAGGTGCAGCTCCGCTGTGTTGATGTCAAGTGTCACGCGCTCCAGCACGGCTTGCGACGTGTCGGCCACGTACGAGTCTGGTGGCACACCTTGAAAGGCGCTCACGGGGTCAGACGGCAGCCCAAACTTGTCCTCAATCACGCCGGGGCCCATGGCAAGGAAGGTGTTTCCAATGTTCGTGGCAATGGTGCCGTCGAGCTTGAAGCTGCGAATGTCCTCGCGGTTCAGCAGCACCTCAATGGACGTCTTGTCTGTCGTGGCGTAACGCACGCTGCCGCCCGTCAGGGGCACCACCGTCCCGCCAAGCCCGTTGGAGACGGAGATGATGCGAATGAGGTCGTACTGGATGGTGTCAATCTCAACCGCCTCGGAGAAGGTGAAGCGCAGCAGGTTGTCACGCAGATCAAACGCGTCAAAGGACACGAGCTCCGGGTTTGCCTCATCCGTCGTCACGGCAGACGCCTGCAGACCCTCGGCCATCGCCTGAATGGCGTTGTTGGACATGTCCGAGATGGCGCCAGCAGACAGCCGAATAAACGTGTCGTTCACGCCGGTGGCCATCCCCGTGACAGCCTTGATCTGGCGAATGTCTGCGGGCAACAGCTCCAGCGCCACAAGCGTCGAGTCGCGGCGGTCAGACACAAGCGTGGACCCCGTCAGCGTGTACGCGTTGCTGCTGTTGTAGATGCGGGTCCCCTGGATGGTGATGCGCTGCGCATCGGTCGTGGCGCCGTCAACCGTCTCGTCAAACGTGAGCAGCAGCTGCCCCACGCGCTGGTCAAGCGTAAACGAGACAAGCTGTGGTGGCGTCGAGTCCGGCGTAAACGCGGCTGCACGCTCGTCCACGTTGAACGTGCCAACGGGGACGGCCTGCACCGGGTTGGCGTTCATGTCTGCAAACGCCGTCGCGTTGAAGCGCAGGTAGCACGTGGTGCGCGAGCGACAGATGCGCACCTGACCTGGTCGGAACTGCTTGAGTCGGTTCAGGTCGGCCACCGTCAGGTTCACCGTCACCTCAAGCACGTCCGGCGAAAACACGCTGCCGCCCGTGAGCTTGAAGAGATCCGTGGAGTCAAACGACTCCGCAAGCGCAATGGACGTGTAGTCGATGACAGAGACGTCAATAATTTCGTTGAAGAGCACCTTGATGCGCCCATAGTTGAGGTCAAACCGCACAAAGTTCACCAGCTCTGGCCGGGTCGTGTCCTCCGCGAACGTGCGCACGCGCTTCGCAGCAGTGGGCGCAACCGCCCGCACTGCGTTGCCCGTCATATCCTGCAGCAGCGAGCGCTGAACGGAAATGAAACACGTCGTGTTGGACACGCACAGGCCCTCCCGGACTTTGAGTGAGTTCAGGTCGTCAAACGTCAGCAGCACAGAGAAGGTCGTGTACGCAAATGGGTCGGGCTGTGACGCCGGATAAGGATGTGTGTTGAACACTGCGCCGCCAGTGAGCGTGACACTCTGCACGGGTGCAGACACAGACCCGCTGCTGATGCTGAGGTTGGTGTTCACGGCATGCGACTGCAGCGTGATGCTCTGCACATGAATTGTGGACGCGTTGTACGCCTCGTTGAAGGTCAACGTGAGCACCTCCGACGTCAGGTTCAGGTCGAACGACACGAGCTCGGGCGCAATCATGTCTGGGATCAGCAGTGCAGCGCGTTCGGCATCGTCCGCCCCGCGGGCCACAACATCAACGCCATTCATGTCCCTGACCATGCCCTGCGCAAAGGAAAGCCATGTGGACGCGGGATCCATGGCGAGGCGTGTGTTCCAGTTGATGGTGTTGACGTCCGGCTGGGAGAGGCCAAACTCAAGAACAAGGCCGCTCGGTGTCAGCACCACGGCGCCGCTGAGCGTGATGCCCAGAGCGCCATCGCCACTGACGCTGATGACGGCGGTCTGCTCGCCTGCAAGCGTGATGAGCGAACCGTCGGCACTGGATGTGTTCACGGGCTCGTTGAAGGTGAGGCTGAGGACCTCCGATGTCATGTTCAGGTTGAAGGAGACCAGCTCAGGCGGGGTGATGTCGCCGAAGAACGACGCCGCCAACATGGCTGGCGCACCAACAGCCACGCTGGGGTTGCCGACCACGTCTGTCACCGTACCAGAGGTGAGATTCACATGCGTATCCCCGACACGCGTGGCCAGGGAAGTAAGCAGCTTGATCGCATTTGCGTCCTCAACGGAGATGGCCACCGCTTGCACGCTCGAGTTGCGGTACTCAAACAGGGTGCCGCTGCCTTGCGTCAGCGTGTACCTCTCGCCAGGAGTGCCACTGCTGCTGTACTGTTGCAGCGTGATGCCACCAACCAGGCCCGAAATGGACAGCACGGGTTCGTCGAAGGTAAACAGCAGTCGCTGGCTCGTCATGTTCAAGGAAAAGGACACCAGCTGAGGTGGCACCACATCGGCTGTGAAGTTGGCAACATGCAACACCGTGCTCGGCAACGTGGGAAGCGCTGGGTTGCCGCTTGCGTCTACAATCACGCTGCCATCCGTCAGCAGGAAGGCGTTCCCTGCGCTGGTGTAAAAGCTGCGGCTCAGAATCGATTCAATGTCCTCCTCATTCAACTGCACCGTCACTGTGAGCGACACTGTCCAGTCATATGGCGTGCTGGTGTCAGCAGACACGTTTGCTGCGGTGCCTGCTGGCGACTGGCCAACGATCGAGGTGGAGTTGGACAGCAGCCGGCGAGTCAGGCCGCGCTCCAGGGACGAGCGCGACTTGAGCACCGCAGCCGTCGCATTGAAGGACACCTGCCACACAGGCTCGGAGAAGGTGAGCACAAGCTGCCGTGATGTCATGTTTGCAGAAAATGCGAGCAGCTCAGGCTGAACCGTGTCTGCAACAAAGCTGGCGCTGCGAAGCGGTGTTGCCACTGCAGACGCTGTGTTGTTGTTGGCGCTAATGTCAAGCGCAAGCCCCGAAGAAGCACGCAGCCATGTCGTGTCTGTGGACACGACGAGCGCCGTGCGTCCCGCCAGCTCGTCAAAGTCCGCGCGAAGGAGGCGGAAGCGAACTGCCGTGTACGCCGGTGCGAGCGAGAGGTACGTGCAGTTGGCCAGCGCAAACGCAGAGGCATTGCCGCTGGGGCGAGGATACGGCTGTGCACAGGGCAGCATTGTACGGGTTGGCCACGACGTTGCGTCAAACACAGGCTCAAACTCTGCTCCGCCCGTCAGTGTGAAGCTCGTGCGAGAATCACTTGACTGGCTCGTGATGTTGTTGTTGTTGCTGTTGTTGTCGGCAGAAAGCGTAATCAGCTCCGGGGCAAGCGACATTGACAAGACGGGCTCGTCAAAGGTGAGCACCATCTCCTGCGTGGTCATGTCAATCTCGAATGACTGCAGCCGAGGTGGTGTCTGGTCGACGTGAAGTGCGCTGCTGATCGTTGGTGTGTCTGCAAGAAGCTCGTTGCCGGCCATGTCCTGAACAAATTCAGGTGAAGCAGTCATCTGACACGCGGTCGCGTCGGAACACAATGGGCGCTTGGTTTTGATGGCTGTCATGTCCTCATAGGAGAGCGTGATGTTCACAACAAGCTCGGATGCAGAGATGGCGTTGAGTGTCGCATTGTTCACGATGTGTGACACGTGAGCACCGTCATGCAGGGTCAGGGTGTCAGTGCCATTGAATGTGCTCGCACGCACGGGCTCCGTGAAGGTGATGCTGAGGGAGCCGGCGTCCATGTCCACCACAAACGACTCAACCGCCGGCGGCACCGCATCCCCAACAAACGACCGCACCCCAAGCGCTGCGTCCCCGCTCGTCGCCTCGCTCCCAACACCAAACACATCAGCAACAAGCGTCCCGTCGTGCCACACAAACGCCGTCTCCGCACTCGTCACAAGCGGCTCAAGCACCTTCATCGCATCCACGTCCGCCTTGGTCAGCGCAACATACACCCGCTCCTGGTCCTCGCTCCAGCTCACATCCCCTCCAACAAGCCGCCGCTCCGCAACAATGCCACTCCCGCCACCAACGGCCCCTGCTGACACCGCTGCCGACGCCGCTGCGCTCGCGTTCCCGTACGCCTGCAACACAAGCGCCGTCACATCCACCGTGCTCACATTCACGGCCTCGCTAAACTCAAGCCCAAGCACCTCAGACGTCATGTTCAGCGTCGCGTTCACCACAACCGGCGCCCGCGTGTCCGCTACATACGCTGCCACCTGCAGCGCTCGGTCCCCGGGCACCCCAATCACGTCGTTGCCTCGAATGTCGTCAAGCATCGCCGCCCCAACGCTCACATAGCTGTTCCCGCGACGCCGCCCAACCCCGCCAACAAGCGCAAGCCCCAACACGTCCGCCGCCGCGAGATCAATCACCACCTCAAACCCAACATCGCTCTCCGTGCCGCTCCCGCCATCCTCAAGCAGCGTGTACCCAACAACGCCCCCAACACCAACCACCCCGCGCCCGCTCTGCACCGTCACATGCTCAACCTTCAGCGTCCCAGGATCAACAACGTCGTCAAACGACAGCACAAGCTGCCGCGCCTGCATGTCAAGCACGCACTGCACCACGTTCGTCCGCTCAAGGTCCGCTGCGTGTGCCCGCGCCGCCTGCGCATCCTCCCGCCCAATCCCAAACACTGCGTTCCCCGCCATGTCCGCCACAAGCTCAGGCCCAAACCACATGAAGCTCGTCCCCGCATCCGCTGCAAGCCCCGCCTGCCGCTTGATCGCCGTCTCGTCGTCCTCGCTCAGCGACACCACAACCCAGCTCTGCCCAACCTCAACACCGCTCGCGGCCGCAACATCGCTTGCGCTGCCAACGCTGCTCACGTCGTTGCCGCCCCCGCGCACGCTGCTCCCCTCGCTCAGCCGGTGCATCTCAACCGTCGTACCAGCACCAGCACCAGCAGCACTCGCGTTCCGCACGCTCTGCAGCACAACCGCGCCAACATCAAACGTGCTCACGTTCACGGGCTCGTTGAACAGCAGCCGGATCTCAGCCGCCTCAAGGTCAACATCAAACGCTGCAAGCCGCGGCCCAACAACGTCCCCAATGTAACCCCGCGCACCAAGAGCGCCCGTCCGCTCAATCCCAACAACCCCGTTCGCCTCAAACGCCGTGTCCACAATCGCGCCAGCGCCCACGCTCAGGTACGTCGTGCCCGCGCTGGAGCCAACACGCCGCGCCTTGATCGCACGCATGTCCTCCCCGCTCACGTCAACCACAACCACAAGCACGCCCTCTGCCGTGCTGGATGGCGCGCTGCTCTCCGTCAGGCAGTACACCTGCTGCGCCGTGGTCTCGTTTGCCGTGGGCTGCAGGCACACCTGCGTGGTGTCGAGCGACGCCGGGTCCACAATCTCGCTGAAGGAGAGGATGAGCGACGCCGCGCTGACGTCCAGCACAAACGACTCCAGCACCGGCGCAACCTCGTCACGCAGCAGCTGCTGTACGGGCTGCCCTGGGAACGCCAGCTCGATGGGCTCGATGCTGTTGCCTGCCATGTCGTCGAGGAACGAAGCCGTGAAACGAGCGTAGCAGTTGCCAGCGATGGTGCAGAGCAGGTTGTCCTGCTTGATAAAGTTGAGGTCGGTCGTACTCATCGTAATCTCCACGAGCGTGCTTGCCGTCTCGTTCTCGGGTGCCGTAACCTGCCCCGCTGCGATGGTGTGCTCGCTATACCCCTGGTTGGTGGACTGCTTCTCAAAAGTGGACTGCAGCACAATGTCAGAGGGCTGGATTGTGCTGAGGCGCACGGGCTCGCTGAAGGTGAGCACGATTGCGCCAACGTCAAGATCGATGCTGAGAAACCCTCGTGGCAGCAGCTGCGGGGACGTGACATCTGCATCATAAGCAGACGGCAGAACATCAACTGCAGCATCAACCGGGTTGTCGTTCGGATCTACCGCAAACGTGCTGTCGATACTGACAAAGCAGTCCGCGCCGTTTGCACTGGCCGTACACAGGGGCAAGCTCTTGATTGTGTCCAGGTCCTCCTTATCCAGGACAACGCGTACCCGTGTGCCGAGCGACCCGTCAATCTCGGCGACTGTTGAAGCGTTGCTGATTCGGAAGAAGGCACGAGTGCTGCTGGCGCCTGCGGGTGCTGACGCCAGGGCGATGGCAGAGATGTTCAGCGTGGCCGGGTCAAGGGGCTCGATGAACGTAAAGTTGAGCGTGCCCGCGTCCATGTTTACGCCGAAATCGACCAGGTATGAGGGCTCGGTGTCCCGGGTGAGACCACCAACCCGCACGCGCTTGGCGTTGTCCTGTTCAATGTAGACCACGGGGTTGCCGGCGGTGTCGAGAACAAAGTCAGACGGGAGCAGCTCTGGCGGCGCGTACAGCGGCCTGCGGTAGAGGTGCTCGATGCTGAGGTACGTGTTGACGCCGCGGGTGGCCAGCTCCTGATTGTACTTGATGGCGTTGACGTCGTGCGCGGTCAGGTTCACGCGCACAACGGCGCGCTGCTCGTCGAGGTCAGAGATGTACCCGCCCGTCAGCTGGTACGTTGTCGTGCCGTTCACCTTTGTGTTCTGCAGGATGACGCGCTCGGGCTTGAGAGATGCTGGATTCACGGCCTCGGAGAACGTGAACGTGATGGCGTTGGTCGAGAGGTCAAGCGAGAAGCGAAGCAGGGTCGGCGGGAGCGTGTCCCGTGACACCACGGCCACCTGCAGTGCGTTTGCCGCCAGCACCTCATCGGCAAGGTTACCCACGGAGTCTTGCACGGCGCCCGCGCGGAGGCTGAGGAACGTGTCGCCAAGCGACGTGGCCAGGGAAGTTTTGCGCTGCAACGCATCCGCGTCGTCTGCGTTCAGTGCAAACGCAATGATTGCGTCACGGCTGCTGTTGGCAAGAACCGGCGAGCCGGCCGTGATGAGCGGGTCATCCGTGTAGTTTGCGGTGAGTGTGAGCGTCTGCAAGTTGGCGCATGTGCCGTCGCTGGCCGTGGCATCGGCGCAGTTCTGCAGCGTCATGAGGTGCGACTTGAACGTATCCTTACGCACGGGCTCGTTGAAGGTCACGGCAACCTGGTACTCGGAGAGATCCATGCTGAACGCCACGACAAACGGCGGCTGGTAGTCGACGTCGTAGCCAGACACCCCCAGCGCGTTCTGTGGATGCACGCGGACGGACGGGTTGCCGTTCATGTCGGCGAAGGCGCCCTGATCAGCCGACAGGAAGGTGGAGTTGGCGTCGTGCAGCAGGCCTGCGCCCGCAAACCCGGGCTGCCCAATGGCGCTCTGGGCGACGACCGCAGCCACGTCAGCAGGCGTCAGCACAAACACAACCTCGCGCGTGTATGCGGGGGTCACAAGTGCCCCCGTGAGCGTGTGCTGGAATGACGCGTTCGCCGCTGCGCTGTGCAGTGCAATGAGACCCGGTTCGAGCGAGGAGGCGTTGACCACCTCCGAAAAGTGCACGTGCAGCTCTGTCAGGGAGTTGTTTGTGTCAGACCCGGCCACAATGTCAAACGAGAGCACTTTGGGCGGTGCAATGTCCTCGAGAAACTCCGACGGCTGCAGGGCTTGCGTGGCGTTGAGCGGAAACACGGGGTTGTTGAATGTGTCGTTGACGGTCTTGGCTTGGACGGTCAGCAGCGTGTTTGCAATGTTTGTGGCCATCAGAGGATTGGCCTGCAGCGCAAAGATCTCTTCCGGTCGCAGCTGCACGCGTACCACCGTCGTCAGGTTGTTTGGATTCAGCTCAATGTCCTCCGCTAATGTTTGGAAGTCAAGGACAGAAAGGAAGACAAAACGGTGAGAACGGGTGAGTGAGTGAGTGTGTGTGTGTGTGCAAATGTATGTGAGTGTGTGCAAATGTCAGGTTGTATGTGTGTACGAGTGTGCAACTCTGTCTGCACAGGAAATGACACATCCGCACCCTTAACACACACTCACGCCACACACAAACACATACACACCACACACAAACACAACCGATGAATCAAGCAGATGAGCTACCTGCGATGAACTGCAGAAGGAAGGTGTGGCTGACATCCAACCCGGTGTTGTAGTCATCGGAGAGCGATGCAAGCACATACTCTGCCTCCTCGTTGAACAGATAGACAAACCCGCGACCGGCAACAATGTCCACACGTCCGGCGCCTGTGGCCGACCCATTCATGGCCAGTGCGCAGTCACGCTGCTCTGTTGGCACGCGGTTGCCAAACTGGTCCTGGGCCTCCACAAACAGCTTGTCAAAGCTTCCCGTGGGAATGGGCGTCAGAGGCTCCAGCACATACTTGGTCGTGGCGCCTGTGTGAATGTGTGTGTGTGCGTGTGTGCGTGTGTGTGTGTAGATTTGTGTGTGCGTGTGTGCGTATGTAAGTGTGTGAGAGAGAGTGAGTAAGTGTGTGTTTACAAGTGTGAGCGTGGCTCTGTGTGTGTGTGTGTGTGTGTGTGTGTGTGTGTGCACAGATGTGTAAGCACGAGGCAGCAGCCACCCACAACCCTTCCAAACGCCTGGATTTCAGGAACACCCAAGAGCATGTGCGCAAGACAGAGTGGCTGCTGACCTGGCACAAACTCTGTAAGCTGTGTGGACGTGACATCCACTCCTGAGCCCGAAAGATCCGACAGAGAGACGAGCACGTTGCCAGGGGTCGTCTTTGCGAGAAGCTGGGTCGCCGTGCCGTTGGCAATATCAAAGACGGTGGTCGCGTTGCTGGACAGCTGGAACACGGCGTCGCTGCTTGCGGTGACAACCACGTCTTGCTGCTCGTTGGTGTTGATGTTGCCATACATATCAAGCGCAACCACGGTGACGTTCACGCCAGCGTCCACAGAGCCGGGCAGAGAAGGCTGGCCAAGCTGGCCACTTGGCAGAGGCAACAGCACAAACCGCCGTGTCTCCCCTGCACATGGATGGGTGGTGATTCGTGGTGAATGATGGTGGAGGCGGTGAATCAAATGGGAGGGGGTATCATGTCATGTGTGAGGATACGCTTGCAAACATGAGCAAACCCCCAACAGCAGCGTGCACACGCGCGCGCATTGTGACGGATGCCGTAAGGGTGACAATAACGAACAATATGACGCCGCAGGCCATCCCTCCTCCTTCCATCCCAACCAGCAAACCAACAGACCAACTGCACGCAAGCAAAGAGGATACACGTGGAACAGGGCGCAATTTCGAACCAGGTTGGATGGTGAAGAAGGACGGCGTCAACGGGAGAGCGAGCGTGGCCGGAGTGCCAACAGCAGGCAGCAACTCCAGCTCCACGGTCTGTGGCTGCGGCGTGAACAGCGTGTAAGCTCCCTCGCCACTCGCCACCGCCACGGTATGGTTGTCCGTGCCATTGTTGGAGTTGACACGGAGGAGAAGGTTGTAGGCATCAAACACGGCAATATTGCTGTACTGGTCACGGACTTGAACACCGATGACATGATTGGTGTCCACGGTGTTCGTGGTTGGCAGCACAATGCTTACACTTGCACCAATATCTAACGCAACAAACAATGCGCATGTGCAAGGCGTGTGAGAAATGCAAGAGCGTTGTATAACATGAAACATGTGCAAGTATGTACGTGTGTTTAATATGTGTGCATGTGTGTGCATGTGCATATGTGTGCATGTGTGTGCATGTGCATATGTGTGCATGTGTGTGCATGTGCATGTGTGCATGTGTGTATGTGCGTGTGTGTATGGTTGTGGGGTAATCATTGATGTGTACGTGATGTGTTCGTGTGTTGTGCTTGTGTGTGTGTGTGTGTGTGTGTGTGTGTGTGTGTGTGTGTGTGTGTGTGTGTACATATGCTGTGCATGCAGTCATACGCGCGTGATGTGTGAATCGTGTTCAGTTGTGGACGCAGGCATTGCAGAGATTGAAAGCCGCGCACACGTGTGCGGGACTCCCTCTCCCCATCAATCTCATTTCCTGCACTGACCTGGAACGAAGCTGATGGTGGCCGAGTCTGTGAGGTTGAGGTGGGACGGCCCCTGCAAGGAAATGGTCGTCGTCTCATGCACGACATCCGTCACGTTGGCTGTCGCCGTGCCGTTCACAATTTGGATGGTCTGCTGTGCCGGTGTGCCGTTGCTGCTCGCCACAACCGTGAGCGTGTCATTGGCCGCTGGAACAAAGTTCTCATAAGGGTCAAACGCTGTCAGGGAGACGAGCACGTTCCGTCCAACCACCTGCGTGGTTCGGTCGACCTCAAGCTCGTAGCGGGCGGCAGGAGCTGTGTGTGTGTGTGGGGTGGGGGCAATGGCACACGTAATGCAGGATGAGTGTGGACAGCCCTGGGAAAATCACCACATATTGCTGTAAAGGGCGCACGATTACACATGCGTATCTCGTCGCACACACGCTCCACCTGCTGTCACACGTTCACATAAACACATGTTCATCCACATACGCACGCACGTACATACGCAGGCGCTACACACGCTTGGTCGCGTGCGGTTTTCAAACCAGGGGCTGACTGACCTGGGACGATTTGCGTTGAAAACGTGGCTGAAGCATCGACCCCCGAGTTGGTAAAGTCCTGCATGGAGATGGTGATTGTCTCCAGCACGCGCGACTGGACGATGATGGTACCGACGCCGTTGGCGATGTTGATGCTGCCCGGGTTCACAAACGGGCGGTCAAGAAACGTGCCGGAGGAGCTACCGATGGCAGAAACAAACAGCGATGCGGGGCCGTATGTTGTGTCGTGGTTTCCGTACGCGTCCACTGCGCGAATCTCCACAGGCGTTGGCTCGCCGGCCGTGATGGTTGCCTGGTCCACAAACACATACCGCGACGCCTCGGCTGTTCAACGGGACATTCGTGTTGTGGTGGAGCAACATGTGACATGAAAGAAGACGGAACAGCGAGTGAGTTTGTGAGAGGAATTGACGAGGGGCAATGTTTATCACAACAAACACGCACAAACAAAGGGCTCACACAAGCAAGCGCAGGCACGCTTTCACGCACAACAACCATAAATACGCACACGTACACGCAGACACACACAGACACACATTTTGCACACACACACACACATTGCACACACACGCACACATTGCGCACACACACACACATTGCACACGCACGCACCTGCGACTGCGGTGAGGGAAAGCGGGGCGCCTACGCTTGTGGGTACGGCGGCCATGGAGGCATCAACGCCTATCACGAGCCCTCCAGACTGGAACGTGCGCATCTGCTCGCTTGCCTGCCCGTTTGCATCGAAGCTGAGGAGATACGGGGGCTCGTTTCCAAACTTGGAGATGGTCGTGCCATTTGCCACAGTGAGATAAATGTCGTCCAATCCATCCGCAGGCAAGGTGCCGTTGGCATATGTGGCAGTGACAGTGACGGTAAATGGGGTTCCCGCCGTGATGGTGGTGCTCGCCGTACTCAGCGAATAGTAGACGGTGTCATCTGCCAACGCCGCCGTCGCCAGCACAGTCAGTACTGCTGCCAGCGTAAGCAGTGGCGCTGTGCGAAGCAGCTTCCCTGCTGTCGAAAATGATTGCACGGTGGACCACCGCGCGTGTCTGGAAAGGGTTGCCATGCGGGCTATTTGTTTGTTTGTCGTGAAACAGAAAAAACAACCCGGGTGCGAGCCCTTGCGCCGCGTGGTGGACGACGCTGTGCGTGGCGGCAATGCACGCACGAGGGAGATGCTCTCGTGTGACCAACGTCAGCCACAAGGCCTCAAAAATAAAAAAAGTGCACGCTTGCACGAACACGCACAAGCGCGTCGTTCGGCGGGTGTCTGAAGGTCCAAACAAACAACAACAACAACACCAACAACAAGCGGGCAACACAAAACGTGCTTTGCCGCGAGCAACGGAAGTCAAAACAAATGACAGGTGGGGCTCGTCTGAACGGGAAAGAGATCCAGGTAGTCTTTTCGACTCGGCAACACAAGCTCACAGCCACCCGAAACACACAATCCTCGCCACCGTTAACCAAGGCGAGCGTGGGTAGGGCGAACAGGGTGATAAGGGCAATGTGTGTGTATGAAGGAGGAGGGTGTTTGATTTTTGCCAGGGGATAAACAGCTTGGGTTGCGATGAGAAGTTTATTCACGCTATCCGATAACTTTCTGTTGTGTGTGTGTGTGTGTGTGTGTGTGTGTGTGTGTGTGTGTGTGTGTGTGTGTGTGTGTGTGTGTGTGTGTGTGTGTGTGCGCGCGCGCCATGGAGTTGTACGAAGTAATCGAGGATCGAAGGTGATCGGTAGGTTACATGCCGGGAAGGAACTAGAGTCTTAGAGTCGTCGGCGCAAGTTTCGTCTTGTACAAGCCAAGGCAGCTTGCTTGCGAGCTAGAGAAGGGGCTCAAAGTCCGTTTGCTTAAAGTGAACGATGGCAATGGTGAGAACAAGGCAGAGGCCAGCCTCGATGGACCCTTGCTCTGGCAGCGCTGTTGTTGCCGCCAAATCATCCTGCAACGAATGTGGTGACGCGTGAGGGCTTGGGAGCGCGGATAAGCGAGGCAAGGGAGTCAGCTGTTGTGGGATGTCGTGTCGGGAAGGGAACAACGAGCAAGGTGCGAGCAAGGTGCCAGCAAGGCCGGGTTCAAAAGCACACGCTGAGCGAACGAACTTCAACACACACACACACACGCACACACACACACACACGCACGCACACACACACACACACACATGCACAACACAACACATGCAAGACATTTTGTGTGAGCATACCTGCCCTGCAGAGTAGAGATAGAAGCACACCCTGCACAAGCGGCGAATGGTTGCGTGGTCTTCGGAGTTCATGAGATCCGCATCAAAGAACGCAAGCGTGGCATAGATCCATTGCAGCTGCAAATGTTGGTGTGAGTGAGCGAGTGAGTGAGTGAGTGAGTGAGTGTGTGTGTGTGTGTGTGAGTGAGTGTGTGAGTGAGTGTGTAAGTGAGTGAGTGAGTGAGTGAGTGAGTGCCGGGTTTGAAAGTAATCACTCCGGTTTTCTATGGCTTCAGTTACACAAGACAGCAGCGATCAGAGCCATCAGCACAACAGTTTGCAGCTTCACATTGATCACATCGCGCACCGCTCGCCCTTTACGCACCAGATGGTGCGTTGGTTGTTCGCGTAGGTCCTCCACCAAGTGCTTGAGCAGCTGCTGCGTGTGTGCATGTGATAACCGCGCCAACACACCAGCAGATGGTGCGCGCGGGGAGGTTTCGGGTGTCAGCTCAAAGCACAGTGCCCGACATTGCTCTGTTGTCAGCACCTGCAAGTGTGTGTGTGTGTGTGCGTGAGTTGCTTGAGTAGGAGCTTTCATTTGTATGTGCGCGCCAAAGACAGGAATGCCACCATGTCACGCAGTTCCACCACGCACAGTTGCAGTTCCACGCAAGAAACCGCATGCGCACACCTTCGACTGAGGTACGTCGGACGGCTCAAGGTGCAGGGTCCCGTCTTGTATGCGCTCTCGCAGCTCTGCACAGCGGAGATGCAGCTCCTCAAACGCAGAGAGCTGCTGGTCTTCCCACGCAGGCACAGCGTGCACCTTCGGTGTCTTTGGTGTTCGCGGAGGCATGACGGTGTTGTGTCTCCGCTTTCTTCTGCTGCGCCCGCTCGGTGGCGTGTCCTGTGGTGGTTGTTGGTGTTGGTGTTGGTGTTGATGGTGTTTGTGTTGGTGGTGTTGTTGTTGGTGTAGGTTTTCGGCCAATGGCAATCGTTCGCCTTGTTCGCCTTGTTCGCCTTGTTCACCTCGTTCGCCTTGTTCGCCTTGTTCGCTTTGATGATGTGTTGGTGGTCCTTGCTGTTGTGGTTTGGACACCTCGATGCCTGCAGGCGATTCGGTCGCTGCTTGATCTACGACGTGTGCCATCCCGTGCGGGTTCTCCATCGACACAGCTCCGGCTGTCCGTGTCATGGATGAAATGGACGCTGCCACCACCACCTTTGGCATAGCAGCCGTTGCTCGTCTGCCGCGATGATGAGCAAGGAAGGGCGTGAGGGGAGGGAGGGCGTGAAGGAAAGGGACTGAGGTGTGCATGCCCACACGCAAACACACACACACATTCACACACATTCTCACACACACACACATTCACACATTCACACACATTCCCACACATTCTCACACACACACACACACATTCTCACACACACACACACACTCACCTCACGTGGAGGATGTACTCCTCTGCGGTTTGTGGCGGTACGGAGAAGTCGATGGTCTGCTCCAACTTGGCCATCTTGGCCCGTGACAGGTACAGCGCAGGCCGCGGTCCATCGTCGCCCATGTCTGTTTGTGTGTTGTGGGTTTGAGGTCGTGCGCTCTGCCGCCGGCGCTAACTTTCCGCTGAGTCAGCAAAATCAATGTGCAGTGATGATTGACAATGGACACACCATTTTGACGCCTGCGTTGCTGGCCTGCGTTGCTTGCTTGCAGGGACAACAACAACCACAACACACACGCGCGCACGCGCGCACAGCCATAGCAGCCATGGACAGGTATGAGGCAGAGACGTGGGCCGATACAAAGGCGCGCGTCCAGGCATGGCCAGACTGTGCAGAGAAGTTTGCCCGTCTGCTCAAAGTGAGTTGGTACACTCGCTCGCTCTCCCCTTCTGCCTGTCCGTTTTGCTCATGTGCAGAGGCGTTTTGCGAGTGGTGCTGCCCTGCTGTCCTGGTGTCGTAGAACCGGACAACCGGACGCTGGCCGTGTTTTGCGGCTGTGTGCGTGTGTGTGTGTGTGTGTGTGTGTGTGTGTGTGTGTGCGTGTGTGTGATCGTATACTTGCATGATCGTGTGCGTGTGCGGTTCCTTCTTCTCCCTTCTTGCTTCCCCCCCCTCCCTCACACACACACACACACACACACACACACACACACACACACACACGCACACACACACACGCGCGCGCGCTCGCACAAGGCAACCTTGCAAGGATTGGTTTCACACAGAGACAGAGCCAGAGGCACGACAGCGGAGGACACGGGCGCCACAGACGCGGACAGGGGCAACCATCATCGTGCAGATGAGGACGCGGGCACTGAGCTGCACCGGCACCTGGACGCCCTCGAGGCAAGGCTTGCTGGCGAGGAAAAGCACATTGTACAGAAGGACGCGCAAGCGATGGCCATTCTAGTTCGCGTGCGCAGCCACATCTCACAGCGCAGCACGTGGGCCGAGGCGCTCAGGGAGTGCAACCAGCTCATTCGCAATCACCTCGCACCCTTTGACATCCCTTTCACCATCCACCTCATCGAGCAGAGCCGCATCCACGCCAGACGCATTGCCATGCAGGACATTATTGTCTTTCTGGGCAACTCAGGGGCAGGCAAGACCACCACCCTCTTGTACTGGTCTGGGTGTCGCATGCACGTTCGCAGCGACAAGGCAATTCGTGACATTGGCCCGGATGCCCACCAGGTCCCCGACGGGTTTCGTGTGAACGGCAACCCAGAATCGGAGACCGCGTTCGTTCGCAGCACCCCTGTCCTGGAACACATCATCAGTGAGCTTGACCTGGACTCGGATATGAAACACCTCGACCTCCTCGACACCCCTGGTAGGAGGGCCACTGCTATTCCTGCCCTGCTCCTCTTGCCGTGATGACGACATGCTTGTGCACCAGCTTCATGAACACCACACAACACACGTGCACGCACACACGCACACGCACACACTTGTACACACATGCACGCACACACATGCACACACACACACATGCACACGTACACACGCTCGTACACACACGACTGCACTTGCACACGCACGACTGCACTTGCACACACACACTCACAGATACAGACACGCACACGCACACGCACACGCACACACACACACACACAGACACACATACACACATACCATCCTCCCTCTCACTTTTCACTTCCTCGCTCTTGCACATTCGTACAATGGCGCAGGTTTCATGGACAGCAGATCGATTGAGGCCGACGTGGCCAACCAGGTCGGCATCTTGCATGCGCTCTCAGTGTGCAGATCATGTCGCCCCGTGATTGTGCTCTCGAAGAATGGCGGCAGCAACCGCGAGCAGTGGCTGCAATCCATTCCTGCCGCCCTCAACCTCTTCAAGGAACCCCACGCAGCCGCAAGACGCTTTTCTTTTGCATTCACACACTACAGTGATGACGACTATGATGATGATGATGATGACGATGATGACACACAGGCGTCAGTGAGCGACACCACCTCGTGTCTGGAGAGGGCGAAGCGGGAGCTCAATGCAACGCTGAATTGCCTGATTGAGCAGCGCCGTGGCCAGGTCGCCTCCGATGCCGTCACTGCAGCACTGCAAACTGCGCACAGCAGCTTGAACCACCACGACCAACAAGAGCATCCACCCCTCATTATTCGGCCTGCACGCGCAGACAAGAAGGTGATTGCGGCGCAGCTCAAGCACGTCCTCGATCGAAGATCGTTTAGCCCAGCGCACGTGCGCTCGAAACTCGACCTCTCTGGCACGCAGACGTGGCAGCACATCACAACCCACACGGACGCGGTGTGCGCGTGCGTGCGTGCAGCACTAACACACGACAACATGGACCTTGTGGTCTTTCGCCTCCAACAGATCACCGACCTCATGCACAACATCAACGGCAATCACCACCACCACCACCACCACCACCACCAGCATCGCCAGCACAACCAACATCAGCAGCACCAACACGTTTCACACGCAACACTGCCTGCGGAGGACACGCCGACCAGCGCGCACATGCGCCGTGCCGTCTGCGCCGTGTATGCAGTCGTCAAGCAGCACCTGACCAAGCTCGTGCACAGGGATCGGCTGCTCGACGCCGTGCGCGACCAGGCAACGGCTGCCATACCTGACCACCTCCTCAGCGACATTGCATGGGCTTCACGTGTCCTGGCCAGACTGCGGAGAGATGTGCCAGACATTGACATGGATGGCGTGAACATGAACGAGCTGACACGCGCGCTCAGTGACGCCGTCGCCGAAGCATCCGCCACAGCCGTGGCCACGCTGAACGATCTGGGCACTGCAGCCAATATGCAGCATGCGCGTATTCTCAACCAGCTCAACAAGCTGCTGCAGCTCGCACACAAGGTCAACACAGTCCCCAATATCCACACCACCATCACCGCCCACGACGTGAGAGCCAGCAACGCCCCTTTGCAGGGCAGCGAGGCACAACCCGCTTCCACAACAACAGCAGCATCAACAGCAACGACAGTAGCAACAACAACGCCACAGCGTATGCGCCCAAGCGACTACTACGAGCAAGCGTCCATCGAGCTTGCACATCGCTTGCAAGCACAGAGTGGTGAGGTGCTCACCAGACTCAAATCGCTCGTGGGAGCGCATGTCGCTCGCGTGGACGGCACCACCAACAACACCATCCATACTGCAGACGCTGGCCGTGATGTCGATGCAAGCAGCCACACTCTCGCCAACAACAGCAGCGACACCAACAGCAGCACCACCACTACCACCAGCAGCACCAGCAGCAGCAGCAGTACACGTCATAGTGCCAGCACGGCCTCCTCACAAACAACCACGGCGCCACCAACACCACCGGTACTGGCACAAGCACCGCTGTCGGATTCATTCCCACGCGTTGGTGATGATATCTTGGCGCTGATGAACAGCGTGCGGGCCCTGTCCGCCCACTTTGACTTGATCATCAAGGAGGATGCGCTGGTGCTGGCTGGCGTGCAGCTTTCGCCAACCACCAACGTGCAAGCCAGCGAAGAGGCGCAAAGCAGTGGCACCACCACCACCGACAACGACAACGACAACAACAACAACAACAACAACAAAACAGGCAACAGCAGCAGCAGTGGCAGCAGCAGCAGTGAAGCATCAACAGTGCAAAATCGTGACGATGGCGGGGCCAGGGAAGCTGTCGCTCACTTGTGGGAGCCGGCGTTTCACGACGCTCTGCAACAGCCCGTCATCACAGCAGTGCAGCAGCTACAGCGGCGATTGAGGACAGCCATGCCAGATGACGCAACACGCAAGCACCTTGCGGCAGTGCTGGAGGTGCTGGATAGGGTTGAGCGCACGCCTTCACTGCTTCAGGTCCTGACCGGCGCGTTCCTCAAACAGCAGCGTGAAGCCGTTGTGGAAGCGTGCAAGCATCATCTTGGTGCTGTGTGTGACAACCTACGGCAGCGATGCGAGGGTCAGGATGCACGCGTGCTACCTGCAGTGTCGCAAATTGTGCGGCACATTGACAGCGTGTGCGCTCTGTTTCAGGGGCAGCCGTTGGCGATTCAGCTGAACACGTTCTCGCACGCAGCCCAAGACCACGTCAGCAGCATCCTTGCGCGCACCCAGCGCATGGTTGTCGAGATCATCGCTGGCACTGTTGGTGACATTGGAGGCGCGTTCGACCCCGCTGACGCGATGGGCGATGCGCACGCCCACAACACCGCAGCGACTGATGGTGGCCGGAACAGCGGTGGAGATTCTCCGGACAGCAGTCAAGCGCAAGAACCGCGGCGCCAGCGCGGCTTCGGCCAGACCCTCAAGAAATTAATGTGGTGGAGAACGCACAGTATCGATGAAGACGGCAACTTACACCAGCAGCAAGAAGCCGATGCTGGTGCAATGGGGGATGGCGCCGATACTAGCGACACCGATGCTGTCACAGGCAACGCCAGCTCCCCGCTACAGGCGTTACACGGCCTGAACCAGCAGGTGGACGGAACGCTGGTGTTTGTCAATGCGCTCCTGGGTCCGTTGCGTGACGGCACGTTGAGCGTGCCCTCCTCCATGAAAAGCTCCGTGGATGCCACGCTGGCTCGCATCGAAACCGACATCCACTGGCACTACAGCCAGGTGCTGTCACGTCTGCCAACTGCCCAGATCATGGACGCTGTTGTTTCCATCGGACCTCACCTGACCTTCGTCTCCGCGGCAACGTGCCTCAACTTGCAAGCCATCGCAGATGCCCGCGAGCAGCTGATGCAACGCGTCAGCTCGTTGCTGCAGGGGCAACGGCGTGCGCTTTGGGAGATCATGCGACAAAACGCCGTGAACGCGGCCACATCTACAGTTGCAGGCAGGCCAGCAACCGAAGCCGCAAGCAGACCAGCAGAGGCAGACGCGGGCTCAGGCGAAGCACGCAACATGGGCCCTGATTCCGCGACTGCACCAAATCCAAGCGTCAACGCAACGCCTTCACCACAAGCATCAACAGCAACAACAACAGCAGCAGCAGTAGCAGCAACTCCGGTTTGGCACACCCTGGGTCTTCGCTTCCAGAGCCCCAGCCAACAGACCAACTTGTTGCGTTTGCTGGACAACAGCGCACGGCTCGTTCTCGCGTGCATGAGAACCCATGTCCACCGATACGTCACGCATGTTCATGAGCTGGCCACTGATGTGACAAGCTGTGCGGTGATGCTCGCCGAGCACCACGCAGACACAATTTGCAGCCGATTCAGGGCCCTGCAGCACTTTCCATCCTCCCAGCCGTCGACCACGACGCCAACAGCAGAAACAATTACAATTGCACCGAAAGAACATGCAGCGGCTGTCGCACCACGCCATGACGGCAGTGGTGGAACAGCCAGGGATCACGACCGGACATGGCGTGCGCAGCTGAAAAACCGTGTGTCTGAGGCACAGCGGGCGTTGGAGCTGCTGGATGCGCGCCAAAGCTGGCCCCTCGTGTTTCACCTCATGTGCGGGGGTGCACTTGATGACCCGTTCACCATGCGCGCGTTTGGAGCACACCGTGATGTTGACGAACGCACCAGACCGTGGCCTGATGGTCGCGGCGCATCTGCTGTTGCTGGCGACCGGGATCTGCTTGCTGGCAGTGGTGGCGGCGGTGGCGGAACAAGCCCGCTGCATCGTGGGCGCATGGAGGTGCAGCGCCAACTGCAGGAGAGAGCAAGCGAATGTGCGAGTCTCATCCTCCACGAACGTCTGTGTGCTTTGTATGGCCAGAAGGAAGCGCTTCAGCACCTCGCCCACTTGGACAGCGGCCTGCTGCCCTTTCTTGGCCCAAACGCCGTTGCATCTGTGCTCATGCAGGCGGATGCGCCTGCTGTTGGACTTCATGGAGACGAGTCGCGCCCGGCACTGTTCACAAGCCTGCGCAGGCACGTGTGCCAGGAGCTGGATGCTTTCATCGACGCGAGGAGCATGCGCTTGAAGCAGGCGCTGCGAGCCCCCCATCTGATGCCGTCGCTGCTGCAGAGCTGCTGGCACGATATCAACGCCCACCCCAACCTGTGGCCCGACGTGCGCAAGCAAGAGCTGCAAGACGCCGTGATGGCAGAAGCGGACCGTGTGGTGCAGGAGATCAAGGCCCCGATGGGCGTGCTGCTGGGTGCTGACAATACCAGTGCGAGCAACATCGCTGACGACGCGGCAAGGGACACGCGAGAAGCTGCATCACGAGTTGAGGCGCATCTCAAGCGGCTGGATGGCCTGGCCAGTCTTGCACACCCGCAGACCCGTGATGAAAATGCTGGCAACGGCAGTGGTGCTGGTGATAGCAATGCTGGCAGTGATGTCCGTGATGTTGACAACGACGACACTGCTGGCAGCAACAAGGGTGGTCACGACAACAGTGATGATGACAACAACAAGGGTGGTCACGACAACAGTGATGATGACGACAACAAGGGTGGTGATGCGGCTCCAACTGACACCCATCACCAAACCAATCACGACACCTCCACGTCCACTACCATTGCCACCACCACCACCAGTAGCAACGAGAAGGCTGCCACGGGCACAGCCCGTCGCCGTGCTGTAGTGGCTCCGTTGCTGACGCGGGCAGGGGAGGACAAGCTGCAGAGTGAGCTGCACCGGCTGCGATACGAGCTTGCGCATGCCATTGAGCGCCAACTGAACCACGTGGACGACCTGCTGGATGTGTGCGATTTCCGCTGCGCGCGCGAGTGGCTGGGCATCATTGGCGAGTGTGTCATGCTGCTGCCGCCTGCAGCACAGACCGCTGGTGCACGGTACGCACGCGAGCACTGGCAGGCAAAGTGGAGGGAGCGAAGCGTGGAACAGAAGCAAGATCGCGCCCTGACGGAGATGAGAGATATGGGGCTGACACGCCTGTGCTCATCGTCATTGCTGCACAGTCTCCCGCACCAGACCAAGCAGTGGAAGGAGCGGGTGTGTGAGAAAGCGCTGCGGATGCTGGTGGTCCATTGCACGGCGCTGCAGCAGCGTGACGTGACAGATGTGCGACAGAGTGACATGGACGTGTTTGATGCGCTTGCTCAACACCTGCCCCAGCACCAACGCAGCACTGTGGACACCAACAAGCAAGCCGTGCACAAGTGGCTGGGAGACAGCGCGATGGCGTGTGCGCAAAGCATCGAGTTGGCGCTGCGCGAAGGGGATGTGACCGCAGTTTCAAACGTGATGATCAGCGTGGAACGCATGTTGCCGGGGGTGCGGCAGAAGGTGGTGGCTGCCGTGGACAGAGGCATCAACGAGTTGTGCAGCCACGCCCGAAACCTGTGCGACCGTCGCTCGCAGACCGTCGGGGATGACTTGCACACCACCGTGGGCACGCTGATCAAGTGTCACAAGAGTCATGTGCGGGCACTGGTGGATCTGGTGCATGCTCCGCTGAACCTGCTCGCTGCAGATATGAGCGACCACGTGAGCCGCGATGTGAGCCAGTTTCGAGCACAGCTGCTTGTGCTGAGTGACGGGGACAGAGGACGTCTTGGCATGCACCGTCACCGCGATCAGCTGTCACCGCAGGAGAGGGCGGCGATGGAGATTGCCCGTGGGTTTTTGCACGCAGCGGAAGTTGAGGCGCAGCACATCAGAATCTGCGCGCGCCTGCGGTCCAGAGCGCGGTCAAACCAAAGTGTGGAGAGCGGCTACAGCAGTGCAAACGCATCGGTACTGTCACCGTTGTCAGCGCCGTCCTCTGCATCCTCCCTCGCAGTTTTCTCTTCTTCGTCCCCCTCCCTGCGTTCGTCCTCCTCCTTCTCCTCGCGGCCTTCAGCAGCGTTAACAACAGCACCTGCTTCGTCGTCGTCAGCTGCCTTTTCATTCTTGCCGACCGAGTCACAGCGCGCATCCACTTCATCGACATTAGCAGCAACGTCAGCAACACCGCAGTGGACGTGTGGTGAAGTTATGGCTAGCAGTATCGAAGACCTCAATGATGCAATGGGAACATTGGACCAAGCTGTGCACGGCATCAAGCAGGCGTGCGCTGACCGCAACTACAAACGCGTTGCATCACCAGGCGCGCAGGAGGGGGACATGTTGCGTTTGCTCCTGCATCAGTGCGCCGTGCTTGCTGCGGTGTCAAACCTCATGTCACGGCACGGTGCGCGGCTCATGCGGCTGACGGGGTCTCCGAGCGCGCCTGTCCTTGGTGTGGACGACGCTGCGTGGGAGGCGTGCAAGGGCGCAGGCGAGCGTGTTCGAGGCACCCTGAGCGACCTACTGCAGTTTACGCGTGACCAAGTCGAGGACGCCTTGGAAGTGCAGGTGGCAGACGCGGGCGCCCTGCAGGATCTGGAGCCGCAGGCTGTGCGCAAGGCGTGCCTTGTGCTCCAATCCGCACGCTGTCTCGTCAGGCGCGTTTCGCCGCTGGTGGCGGCAGACCCCGTGCTTGCAGGCAGCGGTGCCGATGGGAGCATGTTTGCTGCCGGTGGAGCAGACACCAGCGGCGGCACTGGGGGCGAGGATGACGCGGCACAAGGGCCACTGGCAGAATATGCCAGGCAATTGGAGCAGCACGTGGCCCAGCAGGCGGACGTCTTCTCGCAGATCCTATGCATTGTGCGCCGCCCCGCAATGAGTGGCGACAACCTCGGCAACGATGGCGATGTTGATGATGATGATGATGATGATGATGATGATGATGATGATGACAGTGATGATTGGGGGGACAGTGGTGATGATGACGATGACTGGGGCGATGCTGGTGACCAGGACGGCAGCGGGGAGACAGGTGGTCAAGGGCATGCTCTGGGCGATGCGGGCGCTGGCAACGAAGCTGGCCACACAACCTCCAAGGTAGCCAAGGCAGCAAAGGCAGCCAAGACGAAGGAGCGCAGCGTGTTCTCTCGCGTGCAGGAGAGTGTGTCGTACTTTTGCGACATTTGTGAGCAGAGTCGGGAGGCGCTTGGGGAAGATCCGTTGTACGAGCAGATCCAAGCACGCCACAATCAGCTCATGGGTACCCTTCGTAGCAGCGACAGCAACGCCGCCAACGTCGTGTCTGCGCTTCTTCGCTTGCAGGCGCTACGGAATGCGCTGTTTGAGGCACGCCGCGCCATCACCACAGACATCCGGTCGTTCCTGGACACCGAGGATGATGCTGGCGAAGGCGGCGATGGAGAGAGTAGGCGGGCGCAGCTGGCCAGCCTGTTGCTCGATAGCCCCGATATTCGCCCGGATCTTCGCGAGTTCTTTGTGCAGTCGTTTGGTGATGTGCTGTTCTGAGTGTGATGTGTAGGTGTGTGTGTGTGTTTGAGAAGAGGGAACGCAAGTTCAGCCATGTTTCGTGTTTCACAGTCGCTTTCTTTTCAGCTTGCTTTCATTGCTTTGGGTCTCTTTGATGCTTGTGTTTGGTGCGGGAAGTACATGGTTGAGAAAGGAAGAAAGGCGTGTGTGCGCATGAGTCGTGTGATGCTTGTTGCTTGCGAGCAAGTGCTTGTGGGTTTGTCGCCTTTGGGTAGCATTTGAAATGAAGTTTTTTCACGTTGTACATTACAACAGATCAGGTGGCCGAGTTGGTCTAAGGCGTGCGGTTAAGGCCCGCATCTCTTCGGAGGCGCGAGTTCGAATCTCGTCCTGATCAAACCCTAATTTTTTTCGTTTTGTTTTGTTATTGGCGGTTGCGTGTCCGACAAAACAACACAGCATCCACACATCAACAACGCTGCTGCTGCATCGGCCGACGGACTATGGCTGGTCGCATGAGTTCTCGCGTGTGGTACGCCAGTTATGGCTCCAACATGTGCCGTGATCGCCTCCTGTGCTACATCCAAGGCGGAAAGCTCCCCACCATGTCTCCCGAAGCGTGAGTGAGAGAGTGTGAGTGTGAGTGAGAGAGTGCGTGCGAGTGTGTGAGTGTGTGTGCGTGCAAGTGTGAGAGAGTGCGTGCGAGTGTGTGAGTGTGTGTGCGTGCAAGTGTGTGAGTGTGAGTGTGAGTGTGAGTGAGTGAGTGAGTGAGTGTGTGAGTGTGAGTGTGAGTGTGAGTGTGAGTGAGTGAGTTGTGAGTGAACGAGAGTGATGTTCGTGCTCTTACACACACACACACACACACACGAACACACACGCACACGAACACACACACACCTGCCCCCAACCATACTCACCGCCCCTTCTACATACACATTGATGCAGGCCACCATATCCAGGGTGTCGAGACACGACACACCCTGCATCGACGGCAATGTACTCCATCCCTTATCGGCTCTACTTTGCCCGTAACTCAAAGACCTGGCACCGCGGTGGCATCTGCTTTGTGGATCATCGCGAAGAGCTCGAGGAAGGGCACGCCCACCACACCCTCTCTCGCGTCTACGACATTACCCTTGACCAGTTCAACGACATTGTACGTCCGTGGATGATTTTTGCTTGCTGATGGTTGATGGCTGAGGGCGTGCCAGCATGTAGCCAGTGTGCTCTGTGCTCCTGTGTACTCTCACACCTCTCTGATGACGCTTGCTGGCCAGGTGATGCAAGAGAATGCGTTTCGACGGGACATGGAGCTGACCCATGAGCACTACGAAGCATTCTGCTCCAGAGGATTTGGCCACTCGCACACATTCCCCGTTCCATCATGGTGGGGATGGTGTGCAGACGCGCGTTGTTGTTGCATGCTTGACCCGTGCTGCTGCTTTCCTCCCTTCTTGCTTGCATTGCGCATCGTCTGTCACCATACCTCGAACGCAGCAGCAATTCGCTCACAGTCATCCCACTACTGTCCCCCCTCCCTCTCACACACACAACGATGGCCATGATGGCTACGCTCCTGTGTCCCAGGTACAACACAGTGGTGTGTGTTGGGCAGTTGGAAGGGCGACCAGTGTTGACGTTCACGTGCAGCGAAGACCAGCATGATCAGCCCCGCATCCCTGCCGCTGCCAGCTACCTGGGCATTCTTCTGCAAGGCCTCCAAGAAGCAGACTTGCACCTCGACGATGCTGTTGCGTGAGTTGCCTGTTAAATATGCGTGCGTGCGTGCGTGCGTGCGTGCGTGCGTGCGTGCGTGTGTGTGTATGTGTGTGTGTGTGTAAGTCGTGGTGTTATTGAACGTGGGCACCATTTTGTGTGGAACCCCATTGTGCGGTCATACGTGCTTACATCGTCGTTGTTGCTCTTCTCTCTCTCTCTCACACACGCACTCACTCACACACACACACACACACACACACACACACACACACACACACACACACACACACACACACACACACACACACACACACACATTTTTTGGTTTGTCCATTCAGGTACCTGGCTGCGCGGTTTCCACACGCCAACGCGCACACCATCATCCGTTCTGCCGCGTCTGCACTTGAGGAGGGTGGCAAGAACGCCGACAAAGGTGACAAGGACAGCAGCCAATGCGGCACACATGCGGAGGAAGACAAGCAGGAGAAGTAGGGCAATACTGTTATACGACCCAAAGCAGCCACTTGAGACAAGTGGCGACTAATGAACCAGCGCCCAGCGCAAACCGTACACGCGATCTGATATGGGGACCCTGCCCAACACCCCCCTCCCCTCACCCTCAATGGTTTCTTGCAATGCAATAACGCCACTTGGTAGCGAGGTTGCTTTGTGTCTTGAGCGTGAAAGCGCGCGTGCGTATGAGAGGGGTAACATCGTGAGTTGAGAATGGGTTGTGTTGCGGTGTCTGTCTTATTTGAATCGAACGGAAATACAACCACTGGAACATCAAGCCACAAGACAGAAGAGAAAGCAGGTGATGCCAGACCCGCAACACAAAGAGCGACAGCAGCGATTTGGGGGCATTGCGTGGGAGCAGGGGTACTCCTTGCAGAATTGGCGCAAGGCAAAACGAAACAAAACAACAAAAAGCAAAGGGATGAAGCTGGCCAGAGGAGAAGCGCGCGTTGTAAACACACGCGCACAGACACAGACACAGACACACACACGCGCACAAACAGACGCACACAGACACAGACACACACACACATACACAAGCACACACACGCGCACAAACAGACGCACACACACCAACACACCAACACACGCACACAGACAGACAGACAGACAGACACACCAACACACGCACACAGACAGACAGACAAACAGACAGACAGACAGACACACCAACACACGCACACAAACAGACAGACAGACACAGACATAGACATGGACACACACACACACACACACACACACACACACACACACACACACACACACACAGACGTTTCACCGCTTCTAGTGAGGTCATATCAAACCACCGCCACAAATACAATCATAACAATCACCACCACAGCCACCTACAACCACTACAACAACAACAACACCACTGCGCAGCGACAAAGTATGCGCGAACGACAACTGAGTTTCTGCATGCACAACACGCGTGCACGCGTGGCGTGACGGCTGCCGCCTACTGAGGAATGAGGTCGAGAAGACGAGCAGAGCGACGTGTCACGCCACCAGAGAAGGCGAGGTTATCACGCGGACGGTGCTGGCTCCGCGCATGCATGCTGGGGGGCGGTGTCCATGCCACCTTGCGTTGGGGCTGCACGCGCTGCTGTGACTCAACACGGACGCGCGGACCGCTCTTCCTTGCTGCACTCCGGCGCACGTGGCCTTCCTGATCAAACTTGTCTTCATCGCCACTTCCATCGCCTTCCTCCACACGACGGCCCTGTTGGTGCTGGTGCTGGTGCTGATGGGTGGTGTGGTGGGCGAGCGCAGCCCTGTGGAAAGCCTCGGCCCGCGTGTCCACGGGCGTTGTGCGCGCTGTTGGCGACACGACGGCACCGGAGAAGCGCAGCGCATCAGCAGGCCTGGTGCTGGTGCTGCTGTGGGGGCGGCGGCTGCCGTACGACGACCACGTGGATGCAGTTGGGGTTGGCGATGGGGAGGAGGTTGAGGCTGGCGTTGCGGACGATGGGGTGGTTGAGGCAGAGCCAAGGGGAGCGCGGCCATCCTTCGCCGGGTGATCGACCTCAAGCAGGGGCTCATCCGCGTAGATGTGGTGCCCGTGGAAGGAGAGAACACGCGAGCGCGATGGCGACGACAGCGTGGAGCACCGGGAGGACGACGCGCCGCTGTCAAACACATCCGCGCGCGCATCACCACCGCCGTTGCCGGGTGTCGGGGCGGCAGGCGTTGGGTTGCGCGGAGCGAGGGACCATGTGTCCTGCGGGCGATGGGAGCGCTGGGAAAGGGGGCGTGACGTCTGTTCGAATGCATCCTCACGTGGGCGGAACCCACTTGCTTCGAGGTGGTCCTTCTCGTGGAACATGCGGCGGGAGGGTCGGTGGGGCGGCGCGCGGGCAATGACGGCGCTTGTCTCCAGGTTGTCGCGCGGTCGGTGTGCGCTGGGCGGGCGCACGTGCTCGTATGCGCGCGAAACGGCGCCGCTGTGACGCAGCCACGATGGCGGGTGGTTGTCGTGGCGGCGGTTGGGTGTGGGCGGAGCATCGTGTGCGCTGCGACCGGGGTTGGGCAGCGGGCAGCCTGGTCGGTTGGTTGGGAGGGGGGAAGGGGGGGGGCAGCGGGTAAGGTTGCCAACAAACGATTACGTGTATGTTGTGTGCGTGTGCATGTGTGTGTGTGTGTGTGTGTGAGTGTGTATGAGAGAGAGAGAGAGATAGCGCGCGCGCGGGCGTGTGTGTATGTGTGTGACGAATGCGAGGGATGCGGATGCGAGTGCACGCCAATTTGAAACGCGCGCACAAACTGTACCAAATCATGACACACACACACACATACTTCACACACACACATACTTCACACACACATACTTCACACACACACGCACCCACACCCACCAACACCAACACACACACACACACACACACACACACACACACACACAAGCACGCATGCACACGCACTTGCTGTGAAGCTGTTGGGTGGCCGGAACTGGTAGCGGTCATTGCGGGAGCGTCGTGTGCGCTCCTCCACCTCGTTGGGCACGTCATCATGCACGGCCCCACCAATGAGGTGGTCGCTTGCAGACAGGGGCCGGCGGCGTGGGCTCTGTCTTTCTTCTGCGCTGTCCGAGATCACGCCACCTTGCGACAGGCTGTTGTGCGGTGTGATGCGCCGCTTTGTCTGCCGATGCGGCGTTTTGCTTGGGCTGCGGTCCACAGGCACCAGGAACACGGGCTCCTCATCGCCATATCCACCCTCGCCAAAGCTGAAAGTGCTTGTGAAACTGCTGTTGCTGTTGCTGCTGCCGCTGAGTGGAGGCCGCCGGTGTTGGTGCTGGCGTGGGCTGCCGGCCCTCACCACATCTTGGGAAAGGTGTCGCGTGTCCGTTTTGGTGCTGGGCACCGATGAGCGGGGCATATCAGCGCCGGCGACACGGGCAAATGTCCGCGTATCCTCTGGATGCACCCACTGCGTGGCACTGAGATCGTGCGGGCGCTCCTCTTGGTGCGCGTGCGCATAACCATCGTCGCTCGTGCGCATGAGAGGGGCGTAGGTTGCGGCGTAGTCACGGCGGCGATCGTCGTCTCCATTGTCGTTGCTGATCCTCAGCGTCCGCATGAACCGCCGCTCGTTGTTGTCGTCGTCGTCATCAAGAAACCGAGTTGCCTCTGCTGGTTCTTGTTGTTCATAATCGACGTGGCGCCAATCGCCACGGTATGGCTGGTGCTGGTGCCTGGCGTCGTTTTGCTCACGCCCGGCCACCACCTGCCCTTCGTAGGCGGCGCGGCCATACATCTGCCCGCTGCTGTCCATGGCCGATCAAGTCCGTCGAGAAGGTCGTTTTGATGTGTGTGAGATGTGCGGGAAGAGAACAAGTGTGGTTGGTTGGTTCAGGTTGGTTGGCTTCTTCTTGCAGCGTGGTGGGTGGTGTTCAGTGTGCGCGCTTTTTTGTTGCCTGCTTTCTTCTGCGTTGTTGTTGTTGGTTGTTGTCCCACCTTGCACAGAAAACTGACACCGCGCCTTGCAATTTGCAACGCGTGCAACGTGGCCTCGCTAGGTAAGCCGTGGCAATAACGTTAAAACTCCTTTTTTCAATAGCCGGATGGCCCGGGGTCTAAGTTGGAGGTGACTTTAGCGTGTCACTAGGATCAGTGTCCGACTTAGTGTCGGCTGGTGCCTAGTGCCCTGATATGAGGTCTCTAAGTTAACTATGGCAAAGATGTCTCTGTTTGTTAGTCGAAGTTCATCACCTAACTGACCTATTTACGCAGCGGATGTATCCGCGTAAACCTCAGAAATCACTGTTGGTGCAATCGTCGTGTGTTCTACGCCAATTACCTAGTAGAGCCAAAAAGTGAAGGTTTGATCAGGACGAGATTCGAACTCGCGCCTCCGAAGAGATGCGGGCCTTAACCGCACGCCTTAGACCAACTCGGCCACCTGATCAGCTGTTGTGAGTGTAACAGCAAGGTGTGTATTTCAAAGCGTACAGAGTAGGTTGGTTTTGGTTTTTTTGCATGTCATCAAGGAGACGAAAGCAACAACACTGCTTACTTTGCTTGCTTCACATCACTTCTTGCTGTGTTGCTGTGTGCTTCCATCCATCCATCCATCCATCAAACCAACCTACCCATCAGTCTTCGTGCACCCTCCCGACATGACCAAAGGCCACCATACAGGAGAGGCAGCGGAAGAGGCTGCCGTTGATCCCGTGAAGATGCCGCTGTCCCCGATGCCAGTGGACCAAGAGCACCAGCTGCAGCGTGAAAAGCACGGGCACGGGCACGGGCACGGGCGCGGCAAGGCGTCCCACCCGCCATCGTCGTCTCCACGAAAGATTGCGGGAAGCTTTGAGCGTGGCGACCTCAAGGATGCGCCCAGTGACATTGACACTGACAAGTGGAGCTTCCTCTTTGCCCAAGACGTGCAGCAGCACCCAGCGAGCTGGCCAAGCACGGACGTCGCCATGACCAGATTCAACGAAGACGGTGTGTGTGTGTGTGTGTGTGTGTGTGTGTGTGTGTGTGTGTGTGTGTGTGTGTGTGTGTGTGTGTGTGTTTGTGTGTTTGTATACATGTATGTGCGCACGTTCATGCTTCTTGTGCTTCTTGTATGCACGTGCACATGCATCTGTACATGACTTGTGCATCCACAAATCTTCAACACACCTCCCCTTAACCCATGTCCCACCCCTTCTCCGCTCCCCCCCCCGCACATCCACCTGTTGTGCCTTTCATTCATCCCACAGGCTACATCACCATGGACTCGTTCTTGTCCAAGGAAGGGGTGCGCTACCTTCAAGACCAGGTCAGTTGCGTCACGCACCCACGACCTCAACAAGGAAGAGTGGCTGGCTTGCTGTGCGTGCGCTTCTGTGCGTGTAGCACAAGCGTTGCTCGCCCTCATCCAATGGTGCGTGCTCCCATTATTGCATGTATGTGTACTGTGATGGCAGGTGGGCCAGCTTGTTCGTGAGAAGTCCAGCAAGGTTCACTTGGAGTGGATCATGAGCCCACACCAGTTCCTCCCGCCCAAGGACAACTGGGTCTGGCCCATTGCCACCAACCCCATCATCACTTCCTTCGTCACCAAACTGCTGGTGCGGTGTGTGCGTGTGTGTGTGCGAGAGAGAGAGAGAGTGTGTGTGTGTGTGTGCATGTATCTGTGTGTGTGTGCATGTATCTGTGTGTGTGTGTGTGCTGTGTTTTACGGAGGGGAATCTTGGTTGACCTTGACGAAGAGATAGTTGTGCTGCACATGCCTCACAACCACCACCACCACCACCACGAATTATTCGTTAGGGTGATCCTGTTGTGCTGTTCTCCGCGCAGCTTGCCATCAAGCAGCCACACAGCGGCACGCACGTGCCATGGTATGGACATTGCATGTTGTGATGTGATATAAACGTGCATGTGGTTCGAAGCTGCATATCCATGACGAGGAGAACCTGGTGGCAACGTGATGATCCCGCCCCCTCTCTCGCTTGTCCTCAAACGTTTTCGTATTTGCAGGCATCAGGACGGCGACAACTGCTGCACCGTCTGGATCCCACTCGTGAGTGCTGCTGCTGCTGCTGCTGCTCTGTGTGTGTGTGTGTGTGTGTGTGTGTGTGTGTGTGTGTGTGTGTGTGTGTGTGTGTGTGTGTGTGTGTGTGTGTGTGTATTGGCTCGTTTCTACGTGCGCATATTGTTTGTTTGTGACGGTGTGATGTGCACGTTTCGTCGCACACATGTTGGCAGGATCGTGTGGATGCCCGCAATGGGTCTCTGCAGGTGCAGCCCCACCTCCACAAGAAGTACGTGGTCTGTG